AAGTGTTTGAAATATTGTGAGAATTACTAAAATGTGCCACACATACACACAGTGAACACAAGCTGTTGGAAAAACTGTGCTGATAAACTTGCTTGATGAAGGTTTACAAACCTTCAATTTGTAAAATACACGATATCTGTGAACTGCAGTCAAATAAGTGAAATAAAATGAGGTATGCCTGTAGATACCTCTGCCCTCAACATTAGAGACACAGACATTCACATACATAGGATCACAGCTAACTAGTATGAAAGCCAGTGTCAGGGCAGGAAAATGTGAACTGTAATTGATAAATTGCTTGAGGCTACATGTGGAGATGTCTGAGAGTGAAAAACTCCAGAGGCATTCAGTCACAGGGTGGAGGGGCACATCTTTTGTGAGTTTTACCTCTAGGAGTTCAACCAGGTTCTTGGAGTAAATATCTGAGAGAAATCCCATCATGCAAAAATTTTTGCAATCTATGCATCTGGTAAAGTTCTAACATCCAGCATCTATAAGGAACTTAAACTTACAGGAAAAAACAAACAGCCCCATTAAACAGTGGACAACATACATGAACAGGCACTTCTCAAAAGAAGACATAGATGCAGCCAAAAAACATATGAAAAAAGGCTAAACATTACTGATCAATAGAGAAATGCAAATCAAAACCACAATGTGAAACCATCTCATACCATGTAGAATGGCTATTATTATTACTATTATTACTGTTATTATTATTTTTTTGAGACAGAGTTTCACTCTTGTTGTCCAGGTTGGAGTGCAATGGCATGATCTCTGCTTACTGTCACCTCTGCCTCCCAGGTTAAAGAGATTCTCCTGCCTCAGCCTCCCAAGTAGCTGGGATTACAGGCGTGCACTAGCACGCCTGGCCAATTTTGTATTTTTAGTAGAGATGGGGTTTTATCATATTGGTCAGGCTGGTCTCAGGCTGGATCACCTCAAATGATTCGCTTGCCTCGGCCTCCCAAAGTACTGGGATTACAGTTGTGAGCCACTGTACCCATCCTAGAATGGCTATTATTAAAAAGTCAAAAAAAAAAAAAAAAAAACAACCTAAAAAAACTACAGATGCTGGCAAGGTTGTGGAGAAAAAAGGAATCCTTTTACATTGTTGGTGGGAGTGTGAATTAGTTCAACCATTGTGGAAAGCAGTTTGGTGATTCCCTTAAGAGCTAAAAACAGAACTACCGTTTGACCCAGCAATTCCAGTACTGCGTATATACCTAAAGAAATAGAAGTCATTCTATTATAAAGACACATGCATATGTATGTTCATTATAGCATTATTCAAAATAGCAAAGACATGTAACCCACCTAAAAGCCCACCAATGGTAGACTGGATAAAGAAAATGTGGTATAGTCTGGGTGTGGTGGCTCACGCCTGTAATCCCAGAACTTTGGGAGGCCAAGGTGGGTGGATCACAAGGTCAAGAGATGGAGACCATCCTGGCCAACACGGTGAAACCCCATCTCTACTAAAAATAAATTAAAAAAAATTAGCTGGGTGTGGGGGCATGCACCTGCAGTCCCAGCTATTCGGGAGGCTGAGGCAGGAGAATTGCATGAACCCAGGAGGTGGAGGTTGCGGTGAGCCAAGGTCATGCCACTGCACTCCAGTCTGGTGCCAGAGCAAGAATCTGTCTCAAAAAAAAAAAAAAAGAAAAGAAAATGTGATACATATGCACCATGGAATAGTATGCAGCCATAAAAAGGAGTGAGATTATAAACTTTGCAGAAACGTGGATGGAGCTGGAGGCAATTTTCCTTAGCAAACTAATGCAGGAACAGAAAACCAAATACCGTATGCTCTCACTTATAAGTGGGAACTAAATGATGAGAACACATGGACACATGGTGGGGAATCACACACACAAGAGCCTGTTGGAGGGTGGGGAGTGGGAGGAGAGAGAGGGTCAGGAAGAATAGCTAGTGGATTCTGGACTGAATACCTAGGTGATGTGATGATCTGTGCAGCAACCCACCATGGCACACATTTACCTATGTAACAAACCTGCACATTCTGCACATGTATCCCTGAACTTAAAAGTTGGAAATGAAAAAAAAGAATCACATTTGAGAAAAAAAGAAAGAAAGAAATCCCCTGATGCTTCTGGCAGGGGAGGGGAAAAGAAACCATTCTGAAATAGGCAGGAGCACTCTGCTCTTCCTAAGAAGAAGCCAGGAGAGTTGACCGAGCCTAACCTGCTAGAGTTTCGTCAGAGCCTAACAGACCTGGGGGAAGGGAAATATCAACTCCAGCTGGCTCTGGCCTTTCATTGGGAGAAGGAAAAACCCAACTCTAGGGTACTCTGCCACCCTGTATCACCTAACAGGGGGAGAAAAAACTGAGAAACACTTTTGAAGCTTACAGTTCAAAGGCATATGCTCATTAAAAGACTGAGTCCTAATCCTAGGACAATAGAGCATTTTCCCTCCTGCTGCACCATACCACAACATTACTTAGGGCCAATTTACCTTTGTCCTAGCTCCTTTTAACCACTGCATCATGTCCAGCTATCAAGAAAAAATTGTGAGGCATACTAAAAGGCAAAAAATACAATCTGAAGAGACAGAGCAAGCAGTACAACCAGACATGGGAGGGATATTGAAAGTATCGGACAGGGATTTAGAACAACAATGATTAATATGTGAAAGGCTCTAATGGATAAAATGAACAGCATGCCGAAGCAGCTGGGCAATGTAAGCAGAGATATGGAAAGCCAAAGAAAGAAGCAAAAAGAAATGCATTATAAAAAATCAGCACACTATAACAGAGATGAAGAATGCCTTTGATAGACTTACTAGTAGATTGGACACAGCTGAGGAAAGTATCTCGGAGCTTGAGGGTGCCTCAATAGAAACCTCTGAAACTGAAAAGAGAATAAAGACTGGAAAAGCAACATAATACCCAAGAACCACGGCACAGCTACAAAAGGAGTACCATGTGTGCAATGGGAATACCAGAAGGTAAGAGAGGGAGAAAGGAACAGAAGAAATATTTGTGTGTGTGTGTGTATATATATATATATATATATATATATATATATATATATACATATATATATATATTTTTTTAATTGCACTTTAGGTTCTGGGGTACATGTGAAGAACATGCAGTATTGTTGCATAGGTACATACATGGCAATGTGGTTTGCTGCCTCCATCCCTGTCACCTATATCTGGCATTTCTCCCCATGTTATCCCTCCTCAACTCCCTATGCCCCACTGTCCCTCCCCTAGTTCCCCACAACAGACTCCAGTGTGTGATGCTCTCCTCCCTGTGTCCCAGAAGAAATATTTGAAAGAATAATGACAGAATTTCCCCTAATTAATGTCACACACCAAATCTTAGATCTAAGAAACTCAGAAAACACGAAGCAGGACAAATATCAAAAAATTATACTGAGGCATGTCATTTTAAAACCATAGAAAATTAAAGATAAAGAAAAATATAGAAAGAAGCCAGACGGAAAGAAAAACCCACTTTACCTATAGAGAAGCAAAGATAAGAATTACACTTGACTTCTCAGAAAACTACGCAAGCAAGAGGAGAATGGAGTGAAACATATGAGAAAACCCCCATCAACCTAGAATTCTGTACTCTGTGAAATTATCCTGCAAAAGTGAAGGAAAAATAAAGACTTTCTCAGACAAATAAATATCGAGAAAATTTGTTGCCAGTAGTCTTGCCTTGTAAGAAATATTACAAGAAATTATTTAGAGAGAAGGAAAATAACATAGGTCAGAAACTCTGATCTACCTAAAAAAGGGCACAGAAGAAGGAATGATCGAAGGTAAAATAAAAACTTTCATTTTTCTTGACTGGGTGTTGTGGCTCACACCTGTAATCCCAGCACTTTGGGAGGCTGACGGGGGCAGATTGCCTGAGGTCAGGAGTTCAAGACCAGTTTGGCCAATATGGTGAAAACCCGTTTCTACTAAAAATACACACACACACAAAATTAGCTGGGCGTAGTGGCATTCGCCTGAAATCCCAGCTACTGAGGAGGCTGAGGCAGGGGAATTGCTTGAACCAGGGAGGTGGAGGTTGCAGTGAGCCGAGATCATGCCACTGCACTCCAGACTGGGTGACAGAGGGAGATTCCATCTCAAAAAAACAAAGCAAAAAACAAAAAATAAACCTTTTTATTATTCTTAATTGATTTAACAGATAACAGTTTGTTCAAAATAGTAATAGCAACAATGTATTTAATTATGTATGCCTATGTGTATATAATATATATGCTTTTGTATGCTCATGTATAAGTAAAATGAATGACAGCAATGTCACAAGGGATGGAAGGGAGGAATTGGAATAGAAGGGAGGAATGGATTGTTATTACAAGGTACTCACATTTCCCGTGAAATGGTATAGTGTTAATTGAAAATGGGCTTAGATTAGTTGTAAATGTGTCTTGCAAAATCTAGGGCAACTACTGAAATAAAAAAAAAAAAAAAAAAAAGGCATAAATGTGGTGTTAAGAACTTTGGAGGGGGATAACAAAACTAAATAAAAGAGTTGGAAAATGATTGTTTTTGGAAAGTGGGAGTTGGTGAAAGGCTGGGGACTGTTGCTTTCCATGAGACCAATTTATGAAACTATTTTCTTTTTACATGCACTACATACATGTATAACTTGGAGAAATCTAAAATTACATAACAAACAACAAAATGGATAAAAGCAATCATATTTATGTTAAGACCCAGGTCTGACTTTTTTGGAGTCAGAAACTTCTCTTACATCAGGAACTTATGGCCAAATGCTAATTTGTATAGCACATAGTCCGGTGATTAACATTTTGATTAAAAAACATAAATGATTGAAATTATGCCCAAACTTTAATATCTTTAAGAGTATTTCTTAAACCGCAAAATAAGTTTCTCCAGAAAAGATGAGAAAGTTTTCAGCTTGTTAGAGAAAGAAATAATTGAAGATAAGACTACCATTTGCTTCTACATGATAGCCATGCTTTACTTGGTAATGTCCAGAAACTTACCTGAACAGAAGAGCATCATCTGTGAGAAATTTTGGCAAATTGGAGTCTCGTAAAGCTCTTATCAACACCACATCTTCATTTAGGTTTGGGTTTTCTCTTTTTAAAGATCTAAATTCAAAGGAATACTTCAGATAATATTACAAGAATATAAGGTTGAATGTGATTTTCTAAACCTGTGGGGAGGGCAGAGCCCTTCCGCTGAGGATTCCTGCTAGAAGGAGAGGATCACTTTCCCTTGTGTGCTCAGCGTTCATCTCCAACAGAGCACACTGACAAAGCCTGCAATGGCTACGCAGCCTTAAGGAGAATGACAAGGACATCTTCTCAACACACTCCCCAATCCCCTTTTCATTCAACCTGAATTTATAGCTCCCTGAATACACCATGATGATTCCTATTCCTGTGATTTTCTTTTCTCTCTGCCCAGAATATCTTGCCTTGTTCTTTGCCTGCTCTTATTTCCCCCTCAAAACCCAGCCTAGTGACTCCCTTCTCTAGAAAGCTCCTGTCCTCTATCCTTCTCCGTGAACCTCGGGTGGGTGCGGCCCTGTTGTTGCCTTCCCTGCATTGCAGCCTACGTGACAGCACACTAGTCTGTCTCTATGACCCACTGGACTGTAGTTGTGCTCCTTCAGTGCAAGTGTTATCCAAACTTCTTAGTATTCCTAGTCCTTAAATAGCCATCCTGTAAAGAGGGGACATATTATATCTGAGAGATTAAAAGAACAGAGAGTAGGAAACTGCAGGGAGATTTGTGCAGAACCCAGTGATACAGGAGCCAGGCAGAGGGTTCCTGGATGTGCAGAATCTGAGCTAATGAGTCAGGGCCTGAGAGGAAGGACTAGAGAGAAAATAGGTCATCTCGGAGGCTCTGAATAAGTTGGGGGATTCCAGATATAGTAGTTTGAAGAAGTTATAAAGAGAAAAGTTGGGGCTTGAAAGAGGAAAGATTCTTTACTAGACACTAGAAAGAAGCTTAGGCTTGGACCCCATTACAAAGACAAAGGTGAAATCTAAGACATAAGCTGAACTGAATTGAAATGGTGAAGTTTCTTTACACTCCTGAGGCTTTCTCAGGCAACATGTATGATTGGCCTTGCTGCATATGCATAACAGACGGTGTGACTTTTAAGTCCAGTCATACCAACTTATGGTGGTAAAGGCTTTTGTACACAAAAACCTAACGTCTGAATTTGAGTTCAGGGGAAGTGAATGTTATCCAAAGCCTGGCTGGGGATCAGTTTCTGTTGAGGATAACCATGTGAGGATTCACAGTGAAGAACTGTCATGGGATGAGGAGAGAGAACCTGTGTAACTTTGTCATGGGAGTGTCAAGGTAAGAATGATGACAACAGCAGCAGCCAACATTTATTAATCACTTACTGTGTGCCAGGCATCTCTCTGAGAGCCTTTCCTAGTTACCCATTTAATGTGTTTGATCCCATGGTTGGGGATTTCACTCCTGACTACTTTGGTTTCTTACCCAGCCATGACCAGGACAGACTTCACCGCTCTCATGCCAAAGTCGTAGTGATCTTGCTGAGACAGCTGCTCACTGCAAAGTTTATACATCTGAGTCATTTTTCTTGCTAATGTTTTACTGGATTCAAATCCTTCTGAATATAGAATTACCTAGAATAGAAAAAATCATGCAATGCTTATTATATTGAATTGATATCAATGTATCTGCATGATACCAACATATTCAAAATTGACTTTAAGTATTATACCTTCCCAAGTTGTTATGTCATTTGACAGAAGAGCAGAAGATCAAACACCGCATGTTCTCACTCATAGGTGGGTGTTGAACAATGAGAACACATGGACACAGGGAGGGGAGCACTACACACTGGGGTCAGTTGGGGGGAAATAGGGGAGGGACGGTGGGGGGTGGGAAGCTGGGGAGAGATAGCAAGGGGAGAAATGCCAGATGTAGGTGATGGGGAGGAAGGCAGCAAATCACACTGCCAGGTGTGTTCCTATGCAACAATTTTGCATGTTCTTCACATGTACCCCAAAACCTAAAATGCAATAAAATAAATAAATGGGGAAAAAAAAAGAAACATAAAGATTGAAGGGAAAAAAGCTTTCTGTGCCACAGGAAACTGGAAGGCAGAATATTGTATGGGGTATACGTAGGCACTAATTCTGTTTTCCTTCTACAGATGAAGATGTAGCTTTGGGGACAATTGGTTCAAGAAGCAGAAGAGCCCAGTCTTTGAAAATGTTCCCATCATGAAAGTTTGATGATGTTATTCGGCCCAAGTACAAAAGCAAGAATTGAGCTTCTCTGATCTGACAGGAGCGCCACCCTAGTGGACAGTGATTGCCACCAGCTCCCTTAGTTTTCCTAGGAGTCAAGGGAAGCCATGCAGATTGTCAGCCTCTCCTCTGCCTTTCTTCTACAAGTTTCTGCATCCTTGGTTACATTAATCAGATGATGCTTAGTGTCTTTGACAGTGAAGCTGGCTGTGGACCCTTTTTTCTATTTATAATCTGCCTGAAAAACTGCAGTTGGCTTTAGATGCGGAATTTGGAATGAGGCAGAGTTCTTACTGGTATCTGTTTTGTTTTCTGCTCTATCCCTGCTGACTAGCATAGTGCTCCGCACACAGTAGGTGATTAAAAATATTTACTGACAGGCCAGGTGCAGTGGCTCATGCCTGTAATCCCAGCACTTTGGGAGCCCGGGGCGAGTGGATTACTTGAGGTCAAGAATTCGAGACTAGCATGACCAACATGGTGAAACCGTCTCTACTAAAAATACAAAAAATTAGCCGGGCTTGGTGAAAGGAGTCTATAATCCTAGCTACTTGGGAGGCTGAGGCAGGAGAATGGCTTGAACCTGGGAGGAGGAGCCAAGATCGTGCCATTGTACTCCAGCCTGGGCGACAGAGCCAGACTCCATCTCAAAGAAAAAAAAAATTCTGATGAGTAGAATCTAATTCATTTAAACTCTAAAAATAGTAAGAGTAGCACTTGAAGACTAGACTTTTAAATTTGTCCCATCTATTACTGAGTAATATAACAACAGGACAAAGCATGAGGTGTGGACAACATGTTGGACTGGGCTCTAAGCCTGCTTTTTTTCTTACCAGGTTGGGACAATGAGCAAGTCATTTATTGTTCCTGTTTGTAGAGAGGGTCAAGATACTACCTGCCTTAACTGCCCCCCACCCCACCATGCCAGCAGTGGGTATGGGGGACCCCTGAGTTGCTGTAAGCATTATTCTAATTGATATGGTTTGGATGTTTATCCCTATCCAAGTCTCACATTGGATTATAATTCCCAGTGATGAAGGTGGGGGCTGATGGGAAGTGTTTGGGTCATAGGGGTGGACCCTTGATCCCCCATGGCTTGGTGCTGCTTTGCAATAGTGAGTGAGTTCTCCTGCAATCTGGTCATTTAAAAATGTGGGGCACCCCCCACCCATTCTTTCTCTCTCATTCCTGTTTTTGCCATGTGCAGTGTCTGCTCCCACTTCACCTTCCACCATGAGTAAAAGCTCCTTAAGGCCACCCTAGAAGTCTAGAAGATGCCAGCACCACACTTTCTGTACAGCCTGCAGAGCCAGGAGCCAATTAAACCTCTTTTTTTTAAAAAATAAATTACCCAGTCTCAGATATTTCTTTATGATGATGCAAGAAAGACCTAATACACTAATATAGGCTATAATTTTTCTAATGATAGGCTTTGGCACAATCTACTCTATTCTTAAGCAATTACTTTTATTTCACATAGAAGAATATTTAAAATTAGCTGTTATCACAGGAATTTATTAGCTAAAGGAGTGATCTGTGCTTTCTGAGAAATTCCATCCTAAAGGGGTAGTGTCCCTTGTTATGAAATGCAGCACTGAGCATATAAGGGGTCTTCTGGAGTCCTAAAAATACCTTATATTTTGGTCTTGGTGGTCACATAGATAAATACATGCGTAAGAATTCACTGAGCTGCACCCTTATGAGCTGTGCTCTTTATTGTGTATAAATTATAACTCAATAAAAAGTGCCATGAAAAATATGCATAAAATGTATCTGGATAGGGTGGCATGTGCCTGTAGTCCCAGCTACTTAGAGGCTGAGGCGGGAGGATTGCTTGAGCTTCGTTTGGTTCCATCCTGGGCAGCATAGTGAGACCCTGTTTCTTTCTTTCTTTTTTTTTTTTTTTAAAGTACAACATTTAAATATATCAATTCTTTTTTAAAAATTATTTTATTTTTAACTAATTAAATATTTATTTATTTATTTTGTGACTACATTATGGGACTGGCTAATTTTTATATTTTTGGTAGAGAGAGGATTCCACCATATTGCCCAGGTTGGTCTCTAACTTCTGGGATCCAGACATCCTACCACTTTGGCCTTCCAAAGTGCTGGGATTATAGGTCTGAGCCACTGTACTTGGCTAAACACATCAATTTTTGGCTAGCATTTAAATTCTTGGCTATTTAAACCCAGTTTAAATAGAAAGATACCCAATTAGATACAGAAAAAACAAACACAATTATAAAGAATTAATTTGTTAATGGTTACTATTTTTCAACTAAGTTGATACAGACTTATAAACCATCTTCACCTACCATCATGGTGAGGCTTCTACTCAACATTCCTTGACTCCAGTAAAAAATAATGTGCAAAGAGAAATAAAAATAATCTGTGTTTTTGTAACCAATTCGGACATTTTAATTCCTAGAGAGGAACTGAAAAACCCCAATGAACTGGTTAATTAAATTCATTGATTCTTTCCAGTTTTAGTGGCCTATTATATTCCAGATGCCATTCTGGGTATTATGGATATAGCAGTAAACAACAAACATGCAGAACTTAACATTCCAAGTCATAACAATCACATCCACACTTAGTAATGTATAACCATTACTAGGGGCATTCATAAAGGAAACTTTCTACTTTGATAGAGTTGAATGGTAAATAAAAGAAAGAAGTTTACATTTCTGCTGCTGCATAATGTGATGCTCACCTCTGCAATCAAGGCATAATTTGGAACCATCATGGCAAATGGTCTAAACAGGGCTTTCAAATTATCAGGCAATTCGGTTCTGCCTGCATAACCAGGATTCATCGTGATGAAGGCTGCGCAAGTCATCACCAACTTTATTTCCCGCCCCTCAAACATGAATCTAGAGAGCTGTTCAAAAATAAAGTATAAGTTAACACTCCTCTAGACACTTGTAAAACTTTTGACCTAATTATTACTTGAATACGAGACACATGTAATGAAGCACTGAAGCAAGGACGATTGAATCCTGCTGCCGCGCAACAGGGAACATTTTTGACTCTAACCTGCCTACTTCACATCTCTTCTGGGCTCAGTGTTTCCTGATTTCTGCCTCCCTGCACCTGCCTTGCCCAAATTGTCTCTTCCTTCCTGGATAAGTCCTAAGATCTTCTAGGCCTGAACATTTGCTGAGACTCTTTATTTCAACTCTATTTTGTTTTTGTTTTCGAGACAGGGCTTTGCTTTGTCTCCTATGCTAGAGTGCAAGTGGTATGATCAGAGCTCACTGCAGCCTTGACATCTTAGGCTCAAGCAATCCTCCTACCTCAGCCTGCCAAGTAGCTGGGACCACAGGCATGCCCCGCCATGCCCTGCTAATTTTCTATTCATCTTAGATTTACTGACCATTAAACCTTCTCCACTCCCACTTTCTGGTATTCCCCAAGAAATTCCAACCTAATCTTAGTTCTTGAGTTGTTGAGGCCCCACTGTCACAGTTTTTGTCATCTCCCCTCCACCTTTACTCAACAGCAAACATTGTTGAGCACCTGTTGCAGGTGAGGCACTAGGTGAGGCATGGAGGCACACAGCTGAAGGATCCTCACTATTGAGCCCTCCAGAAACTCCCAGGCTTGCTGTCTGCAATCAACCTGGAAACCGTGATCAAAAAGTTCAACATATACTACAGTGCAGGTGTGTGCAAAGCCTATGGGGGTAGCAGGCAACCTGCTTAGGATCTGAAGAAAGAAGAAGGATGTTTCAGGTAGGGGAATAGGGGCACCATTCCAGGAAAGGGGAGCAGGAGCAAGAAATCACTGGGCGTTCTGGAAATGACCAGCAATTCACTTTGCTAAAGGGCAAAGTTCCAGGAAGTATGGTTAGGCTGGGCCTAAGCATCTTGATTGTTTACTGCTAATCTAAAACTAAGGAATTTAGATTTTGTCCCATGTTTGGGGGGAAGCAGAGAAGACTTCCAAGTAGATCGATAGGATTAAAGTTGGCAGGGAGAGGTTAGACAGGCTACAGACAGGGAGACCCGTGAGGAATAATCACTGGGGACATGAGAGCCAGAATTCAAGAGGTATAAGTGGGGAGGAGAAGCATCTCGTAGATAAAATTAACAGGATTTGGTGATGGCTTAGATTCTGGGACTGATAGTGATGGGTCAATTCCAAGGTGAGTTCTAGGTTTCTAGTTGGGCCACTAGATGAAGGTGCTATTAACAGGCATGAGGAATATAGGGGAAGACCAGGATGGAGTAGGGTGATGTGCCACAGCCTGGAGGAGAGAATGTGTGGTGCAACTGGAGACCATTTCTGCTGCTGCTGAATGGCTGCTCATGCTAGCAAGCCTCTCCATTTCTGTGGTTTAGTTTATCTATGCCAGGGGATCTACCCTACTCCAGCTGTCTCATTTGGCACTGGCAGCTTGAGGATGAGGCTGGTTATCTGCGGATGCTCTCCTATCTTCCTCTGCCCTCATAAGGCTGTTCTCTAGAGACAAAGCTTCAATCCTGCCTCTGCCTCTACTCTCTCTGGTCCCTGTCCCCTTACTCCATACACTTTGCTCTCAGTGAATTGCTCAGCCAGATGATAATCACTTGCATAATACAGACTATGCTATCTCTGTATTTAAAGATCTTGTATTTAATATAGTCCTCCCCAGATTATGCAGGAACAGGAGAGAGTACAGATAAGGGAGCTTAGATTTTAGGATCTGATAAATTTTGGTGTCTGTGAAAATATTTTTTAACTCTGAATTATTTCCACCTATTACTTTGGGGGAAATGACATAGGCTTCATATAGGTTTGGTGTAAGATGAAATATGTGTGAGCACATACCACAATGACTTACACAATTTAGCAGTTCACTAAAGTCCAAGTCACGATTTCTTTTTATTTGTTCTATAACTTGCTTTTTTGCAGAGGTGATAATCAAAATATTTAACAGTTCTTACCAGGGTGCTTTCCAATGAGATAGCCTCTGCCTCTGAAGCTAGAGCTGAGTCTGGAGTCCTCCAGGCTATGCCAGGATAAACCCTTACTGGTGTATCCAGAGGAGGTCTGGGGCTCTTCTGAAAGGACCAATGGAGTAGTGGGGGCCCTCACAGGGCTTGGAGCAGTGCTGTTTTGGTTTGCAGAGGCTGAACACCAGTGCTGCTCATTGTGACCAGATCTCAGAAGGTCAACATAGAGTGGTAGAGACTTGGTCCCAACCTTCACTGCCATCAGCTTCTGAATATGAAACCCCTCTCTAGAGACATGCTTATAAGGGGTTAAAACAAATTTTAAATAACAGGACCACTCACTATCTTCACCTGACCTCATTCTCTTTAGATTTTCTAGTCCAGTTGGTTCTGGAGAGCCAAGGTACCCTTGAGATCCCATAATCTGTGTAGCTATTCCTCCCTAACTTTTTTAGTACTTCCTTTCTAAAATGTAACTTCCTGTGAGTTAACTGCAAACGTAAGGACTGCTACCATGAGAGTCGATTGCCCAATGCCTTACCTTTGCCGCTTTGGCATTCCTAATGGTAATGAGTTGCTGTGCAATGACGGACAGAACTTCTATGTCAATTCGATTAAATTCATCAAAGCAGCACCAGGCCCCTGACTGTGCCAAGCCACTGAAGAAGCGCCCCATCATCTGAAATCAAAATAAAGCAGTTCAACTTTGTATTGTGTAGTTCAACTCCTTCAAAAATTAAATTTTGAGCTGAAATGTAAAAAAAAGGTGGTATCTACAAATAAGCAATAGTTTTATGTGAATATTGGACTCTGTCAGAAGTAAACTTTTCTACAAGAGGAAATATCTTTTTGAGTCTAAGTGATTTGAATCTGTTTTATTTTTAAATAAAATGACAATCTGACCAATTTTCCTTCTTGTTTATAAACTCCACTCACCTCTGTAAGTATGTAATAGATTCCCAAATAATCTAACACATGGAATGTACAAACTTAAGGACTTTAAGAAAACTTGAAAAATTTTACTAATGGAAGATTTCATTATCTTTAGAAGGTATTCTAGAAGGCAGACACACACAAGAACTACTGAGCAGAAGGCATAGCAGCGCAGATTATGGCAATGATTCTTAATTTCTTCTACAGCAGAATCCTAATGGTGGAGGAAAATAAGTATGTACCATCTAAAGTGTTGCATTTCTTTTGGGGACTGGAGATATTGGTTAAGCATGTGTACAAATCTTGCATTATACCACAGATCTATCTCTTTAACAATAGAACTAATGGTTTTAAAATTTCAAGGTGGTCAACTGAACTACTTCCTCCCCTTCCTCTGATTCCCACAAAACACAGAGACCGATAGATCGGCGTCTCTCTCTCCTTTTCTGTGTCCACACTTATACCTGTACTTGCTTGATAAAAACATAATGGAAAGGGAAACTAGCAGGAAGAAAGTTTTGAAAAAAAACCTGGAATAGGCTAGGCACAGTGGCTCACGCTTGTAATCCCGGCACTTTGGGAGGCTGAGGCGGGCAGATCACTAAGTCAAGAGATGGAGACCATCCTGGCCAACATGGTGAAACCCCGTCTCTACTAAAAATACAAAAATTAGGTGGGCATGGTGGTACGCACCTGTGGGACTACATGGGACATGTGAAGCCTGCTGGCCACACATTCTGTACTTCCACAGGGCTCTTGGTAGTTCTTTCATTCAAGGAAGGGCCATTTGGGGGAAACGGGCTGTTTGCACTAATTAAATTAGTCCTTCATCTATACTTATGAACCAAAATAAGTAAGATTAAAGAAAGAGAAGGAATGAGAACAATAAACTAATGAGGAACTTTAGAGAAAGTGGAGATAATTTAGAAGACAGAAAATAATTTTATAAAATTCAAATGGAATTCTCAGAGAGATTTGGAAGGGAAATACATTCCTAAAATAAAACAAGATGCTCTATAAAAGAAATTAGTCAGAGATAAAAAATAGTCCCTGGAAATTAGTAATAATGTAGCCAAGAGAAGAGAAAATTGATTGAATGGATGGAATGATAGCATGGACGGGACTAAAGACCAAGTTGGTGTTCTGCACAACAAAGCTGAGGAATGCTTCCATGTTGTGGAGGAGTGGTCTTCATACTTAGGATACATGTAAGCCCTGGCATACATGCCGACTTCCCACGGGATACTTATGAACAAACAGTTTTAAAGGAAATAACAGAGAAAATTCCAGATCTTGATCTGTGATACAGACTCTTTGCTAATATTTTTCTCTCTGAGAACATGTCTGTGGTCATGCTGGTTCTTCATTTCCATTTGCTCTTCAAAAATGACCCTCTTTCTCTGCCACTCCTGGCTGGGCAGTTTGTGCCTGGCTGTGGAGGAGAGCGGGGGGTTTGAAATCCAGCCCTGACACGGCTGGTGACTTGGTGAACATGTGCCACGTGCATAGAGGCTCAGTAGATGATACTAGCAGCCTTGCTCTCATTCAAACAAAATCTTGCTATGGAGCATTGCCCCAGATGCAAAAACCTCCAGGGTGCCAAAGGACAGTTCCAAACATTGATCAGGAACACAGGAATGCTTGCAATGACTGACTGGCTAACAAATACTTTTTCAAGTCAGGTAATTTCCAATTCTTTGTTTTCAACAAAAGTGAAGGACAGAGTCAATGCCTACAGGTCATATATAAACAGAAACACATCTGTAGTCAAACATAATTGGGTTTACCAGTTATTCCAGTAAGGGAGACCACACACTGGGGAACCAAGGATTCTCTCAGCAAAAGGACATTAGGAGGATTTGGGCTTGTGTTAGCAAATTCTAGGGAAGGGTCAGTGAAGAGAGGTTTTGCTTTGTTAATTTTTGAGAGTTATTGTAACAAATTGCCATAAACTGAATGGCTTAAAGCAGCAGCAATTTATTATCTAATAGTTCTAGAGGCTAGAAGTCTGAAATCAAGGTATCAGCAAAGCCATGCTTGATCTGAAGGCTCTCGGGGAGGATTCTTCCTTGTCTCTTGGTAGCTCCTAGTGGTTGCTGGCAACCCTTGGTATTCCTTGGCTTCTTGTACTGCATCACTCTGATTTCTACCTCCTGTGTACCTTCACTTGGTCATCTTCTCTGTGTGTCTATATCCACATTTTTCTCTTCTTATAAAGGCACTAGTTATTGGATTAGGGCCCATTCAATTCCAGTATGACCTCATTTTAAACATCAGAATCTTTACAAATATAAAGACTCAAATTAGGTAACATTCACAGATACTAGGCATGAGGACTTGAGTGTATTTTGAGGGAACACAATTCAATCCACAACACTGTGGATTAGGTGCTGGTAGGATATCATAATAATATTACATAGAAGGCTGATGGATAGCTGGCTGAGGCTGTCATTGGTAAAGGTGAAGCAGTTACAGAGGTTAGCCGGGAGAGGGGGATGTTAGATTATTTTTGTGGTTTGGGCAGAATTCTTGTGTGTTCTCAGACACGATTATGGCATCTCATTCCATAATGGATGCATTGTGACCTGGTCTGTAGTTGGTGGTCTGTGAAATTGTTTGTGTTCAACTGGAGAAGCAAATAGTCTGAGTCAGGTCAGCTCTCAGCTGACAGCAGTTAGGGGCTATTTTGTTTTGTTTTTCAGAGATGAATTGTATAGCTATTAATTGACCACTAGAAATAAGTTTTGGTGTTATTTCTACCATTTTATTTTGTGATGATTTCTACTGTAAAAAAACTCTTATATTTTGAAAGATTTCAAACATATACAAGGGGTGAAAGAACATATACATCATCCAGCATAACAATCACCAATATTCTGCTATTTTCAAAATACTCTCCAACAATTTTTGTTGTTATAGTATTTTAAAGCAAACCCTAGGCATCATATTATTTCACCATAAACCCTGTAACATGTAAAAACCCCAAAATTACCCAAATCAATACTGTTAACCTACTCAAAGAAAAATCCAATAATTACTTAAAATCATGTTCAATTTTCCTCAACGGTACTAATATTGTCCTTTTACAGTTGGTTTGTTCGGATAAAGATACAAGCAAGGTAGAAATACTGCATTTGGTTACCGTGTCTCTTAAATCTCTTTAAATTTATAGCAGTTCCCTGAATCCTCTCTTTTTCATGCAATTCGTTTTTGAAGGTCTGTAAGTTATTTTTCCCCAAAGAATTCCCCTGATTCCATATTTAGCTGATTGTATTCTTGTGGTGTTAACATATTCCTTTATCTCATACATCTTTATCTCTACTTTTCAAAAGTTTGAAGTTTGTTTGAACAGGAATAATTCATAGCTTACATATCATAACAAGAGATACATATTTCCTAATTGTCAAAGTGGTGACTGATCAGTGGATTACCAGCTGTGCTTGTCCATTATAAATTTTCCAATTAGTCTTTAGTGGTTTTAGCAATAAAGGCCATTGCTAGACACATTATTTTTTAAAGGTTGCAAAATACCAATTTATAATATTATCATCCTTTCTGCGTTTATTAATTGTGATTATTCTATAAGGATTTTTCCTCATCAACTTTTTTATTATCCCCCAAAACAGTCCACAGAAAAGGCAGGATAAATACTTAATTCTTTTTCTTTATCAATTTTTCACGTAAGTTGTTGCTCTGGAAACCTCCAAGGTGACCAGTGAGTTTTGTTTTATGCTTTTTCATTAATTATTGTATATTAATGAATTTAAAAATGTTTTATGTGTTTTGATCCACTCGTTATTATTCTTATTCTCACATTATCCCAACTTTGGTCAATGAAGAACCCCTTTTAGTAACATTCTGATTAATAATATGATCACATAAATTTTTGGTATTTTGTTGTTGTTGTTTCAGATAGGACAGGATGTTGCAGGCTCATTTTATGCATTTCCTGCCCTTGACCTAGAGCCAGCTCTGGTTACTTTTAGTAGGAACAGGTACTTAAGACCACAGTCCGGGTACTGGAGGTGATTGCTGTTTTTAGGCTGTCAGTGTCCCTTTTTAGAGGACAGAACTAAGAGATAACACCGAACTGAGAGAAGAAATCAGTAGCAAAAACATATTAAAAACCTGCTACTCAACTTTTAAAAGCATAAGCAAGCCAAGAGAACACGAAGAAATGATGTAAATAGGTATTTCATAGATGAGAAATCCTAGAGTATAAACATTTGAGAAGACATTCAACCTCACTAGTGACCAGGGGAATACAATGGGATACCATTTCATACTTCTCAGGTTGACAACAGTTATGGAGCCTGATAGCATGGGCAAGGATGTGGAGCATAGGCAGCTCTCATATTTTAAATTTTTTTTGTAATACTTTGAAAATATTACAGATTTTCAAAAATATAAAACAGTGGGACTTTTTTTGTTTGGAAGGTTTTCAACAAAAACATGTTTATGTTAACATATAATGGATTTACTGTTACTTTTTAAACAAATAAAAATATATATAAAACACTTTATTTCTAACATTTTATTTGTTTTCTTATTTCTAACATGGTAAATATCAACAGATGTAACCCATATAAACAAACGCTCTTTGGAAGTCTCAATAATTTTTAAGGGTGTAAAGGAGTCCAATGGCTAACAAGTTTGAGAACCGCTGTATTGAAAAACCTTACCCTGAATTCCCACCTCCCACATATTTCATGTTCAATGTGCCATTCACTGAATTGCCAATTTCCTACCGTAAACTTAGTCCTTATTCCTAGGTTTCCCTGCTATTCTATCTTATATCTCATCTCATTTCTTTCTTCTTACTGACATGTACAGATTTTTTATTTTTTCACCATTTGACAAATCATCCCTAGCCTTGATTCTTACCCAGACTACCCAGACCACTATGTGTTGACTCTTCTCCTTGTTCTATTCATTCCACTTTAGCCATTCTTTGCCTCATTTCTTTTCTCTTGCTTGTGATCACTCCATCCTCATCTTATTTTGTTATGTCATGTTGCAAATAGAGAAAAACGCATAAAACACTTAATGTTAATAGTTAGATACAAGAACTATACCTTGTAGTCCAAACCATCAGAACAGTTAAAGACCACACACTGGATGGCAAGAGCTTTTGCCAGATCTTTAGTAGTCTCTGTTTTCCCAGTGCCAGCAGGACCAGCTGGTGCACCCCCAAGGTCAAGCTGCAAAGCTCCCATGAGGCATAGATAGCAGCGATCCTGAAGAAAGCAATGAATTATCAATATAAAGGGAACCGACTCTGCTCACAAATTAAGTCATTTCCTTTCTATGGGGGAAGGATTACTATTTTCTATAAAAAATATAGCAGTTAAAATACACCAAAAGATCATGCACATAATTAAATAATGCAAATTTTTGCTTTACAAACATGTATTTATAGCAAATCCTTTTAAAAGTTAATGTCATATAAAATTTTTTAAGACTTTTGATTGAAAAGCACTTGTGTCAATATTAACTTAAGTGATCAATAACTTACTGTGAGAGGAGTAATAACCAATCTTGGGCATGCACCCAGATATTCATAACCATAAGTGTACTGAGAGAGTGCCATTCTGGCCACACAATTATCCAGGTCTGTATCCCAGTAATAGCGCAGTTGTCTCTGCCAGTCAAAGGATTCAACTGTCTCTACCTATATGCGATATACATATTAGATACGCTTATTTCAGAAAGAAGTGTATACTTTTACTTAAATGAAATAGTTACCTTAGATTGAATGAGTTCAGTGACTATATCTCTTGCATGCACATCAATAGTAATCAATGCAGTTAGGATGTTTCTGTGTAATTTTGGAAGACTGCCTCGAACTATTGTAGCCAGGGCATTTAATCTCTAAAAATTAAAAAAAAAATTGTCATGGTGAATTTTCCAATATCAGCTTACATATATACATTATCTCTTTCACCATTTAATTCGGAGAATTTTAAGAATCTATAATTCTGTGACCAAACAGGACAATGCTTTAATTCCCAAAAGACTTCTGTGAAATATATACTGCCTTTACCCCACTGTACATTTGCAGAAACTGGAGGTCAGAGAGCGTAAGTAACTTGATGGCAGTCACACAATTATGAAGTAACAAAAATGAGACCTGAGTAGACATTTGCCTTGAGGAAAGCCCATGCTCTTAACCACTATGTGATGATTCTCTAGAGGAGCGTGTTCCCCCTAAAAATTAAATGTAGTTAAAGGTGATACTCTTCAATTTTAGGGGTGGTTTTCCATTAATAATCAGAAAATCTGAGCATTTTAACCTAGCCAATAACTGATTAAATGAAAACATTTTTGGAAAGAGTGAGCTAAATTTTTACTAAATAATTAAATCTTTTTCAAAGAAAAGCAGTGCCTCTGAGGACCTTGCACCATTGTGCAGAAATGTCACTTAGGCCAACCCTAATGTGGGACCACCTCTACATAGAGGCAATGGAACTTTCTTTAGGGAGTCATTTCTCTTTCTGAAGCTATGGAGATGAAATTTATTTGAGGAATTTCATGAGAGTGTTTTCTCTTATTTCAATAAAGGTGTTTTATTCAGTAAATAAATATTTATTGAATGTTTACATATAAATATATAGAGAGTTGTTTTATTTCAATAAAGTTGTTTTGTTCAATAAAGCTGTTTCATTTTTCTGTTTTAAGGGTGAATCTTTAATGCAGTATTGTTGAAAGTAGAATTGAATTTGGAGTTAAAATTGGCCTAGGTCCTTACCAGACATACCGTTTGTAAATATTTTCCTTAATTCTCTAGGTTGCCTTTTCACTCTGTTGATTGTTTCCCTTTGCTGTACAAAAGCTTTTAAGTTTGATATAATCCCATGGATGTGTTTTTTGCTTTTGTTGCTTATGCTTTTGGTATCATATCCAAGAAATCAATGCCAACGCCAACGTCAAAGATTTTCACCTATGTCTTCTTCTAGGAGTTTTACAGTTTCAGGTCTTACATTTAAATCCTTAATCCATTTTGAGTTGATATTTGTGTATGGTGTAAGATAAGGGTCTAATTGCTCCTACAACTCAATAGCAACAACCAAATAACCTGATTAAAAAATGAGCAGGGGACTAGCATAGACATTTCTCAGAAGAAGGCATACAAAGGGCTAACTAGGTATATAAAAAAAGGCTCAATGTCACTAATCATAAGGGACAGGCAAATAAAAACCATAATGAGATGTTGTCTCACAACTGGTAGGGTGACTATTATCAAAAAATCAAAAGATAACCCATGCTGGCAAGGGCGTGGAGAAAAGAGAACCCTGGTATGCTGCTGGTAGGAATGTAAACATGGTGCAGCCATTATGGAAAACAATATGCTGGCTCCTCAAAAAATTAAAAATAGAACTACCATATGACCCAGTAATCCCACTCTGGTACATATCCAAAAGAAATGAAGTCAGGATCCAGAGGAGATTATCTACACCCCTACGTTCATTGCAGCATTATTCACAATAGCCAAGATGTGGAAAAAACCTAAGTGTCCATCCATGGATGAATGAATAAAGAGAATGTGAGCTGGGCATGGTGGCTTATGCCTATAATTCTAGCACTTTGGGAGGCCAAGGCAAGAAAATCACTTGAGGGAAGCTCTTGAGACCAGCCTGAGCAATACAGTGAGACCATGTCTCTACAAAAAAAAAATAATAATAATTAGCTGGGTGCTATGATTTTATCCATGCACTCCAGCCTGGGAGACAGAGTGAGACCCTGTCTCTTTAAAAAAAAAAAAAAGAAAATGTGGTATACACATACAATGAAATATTTATTATTCCATCTTAAAAAAGGAGGAAATCCTATCACCTGTAACACCATGATTGAACCTGGAGGATATTAAGCTAAATGAAATGAGTCAGTCATAGAAAGGTAAGTCCTGCATGATCTATTTATGTGAGGTATAAAATAGCTAAATTTATAGAAAAAGAGTAGTATGGTGATTGCAGGGAGCTAGGGAGGGGGGAAATGTGGAGTTGCTGTTCAACAAGTATAAAGTTTTAGTGCTATTTAAATGCTATTTAGTAAAATAGCATTTCCTAGCTATAGCTAAAAGCTCTTGATGGTATTTAAATTCTTTGAATCATTTATTGTTTGTTAGTTGCCTGACAATTCTACAAAATAGCAGAAATAGAATTAAAGCCTAGAAATAAAAATGGCATGAATCTGGAGGTTTTCCTGGACTAACTAAACTTCCCTGAGAGGTATCCAGGAACTAGTGAACACAGTTTGTCCTTAAAAGTTGCAAACCATTTTATAACCCTGATGTTTTATTCTGGAATTGTTTTTCCGCCTATTTTCACAAGTATTCATATAAATACTACACAAACCTTAAAGTAGTTGTCTCTAAAAAAAGTGGAACACAAATAATTCTAGTGAGAATTCCAAAACTTTGTAAGTCATGTCAGCGCATGAGAATTTCTGAAATAAAGTGAATTTGCATTAACCATGCTTTAAAAACCCACACTAAAACCAACTTGCAAGTCAACAACGTGACTGTGTCAGAGATCTCACCTCAAAATTTACTTTTTCAAAATCTTCCAGGGCCGCTAGATGATTATTGTCTTCTGTTTCCAGGCATTCGGTCAAATCACGGCACCACATAATTTGAGAAACAGTCAGGATAACCTGCAAGAAAACATCCTTCTTAAATATGTGATGAATATCACCAAAAAATAATTCAGAAATATGAAATGTGAGTGTGAGTTACTTGAGAAGGGTGGCCAGCAATCACCCAGTCTGTCCTCAGCTTCCCCTGATGGTCAGCGATGGCAGCTTTGCACAGGCGCCGCAGAGATGTGAACATGGCTTCTTCCACTTTACCAAGCCATTCTTCTACATTGCCTCGGGCCTTGAGGCCTTTCCCCAAGCTAACCTAAAAGGTAATCAGAGCATTGATGAAGTGGCTTTTGTGGGACTTGTACACTGTATACCTTCTGTATTTCCATGACAGAATCCTGAGCTATGTAAATGCTGAAGCCTGACTGCAAATACTGAAACTTCTATTGATATTCCACTATACAGCTATCTCCTTTCACCCCACCTATTGCTTCATTTTACTGCTTCCACTTGGAGTCAACTCCCTGAAAGAGGAGTATATAAGCACTGCATGGATTTCTTCACTTATTTTGACTTTCCTACTTGCTGCCATCTGATTTTTGTCCCTGATCACTTCTGTAAACCTGTCTTTATTAAGGTTACCCAGGTCCTCACAACTCGAAAGTTCAAATGACACTTTTCAGTTCTGGTATCTATTTTTTTGGACTTCCAATGGCCTGTCATGACTGTTTTGGTTTCTTTCAACTGCTCTTCTTTTAACCTGTCTTTAAATTTCATGTTTTCCCAAGATTCTACCCTTGGTCTTCCCCTTTCTCTTGTGCACCAGCGATGAGCAAATTCTTTTGCAAGAGGATCAATTCAGAACACATAAAATGTTTATATGTTCCCATAGATACACACTATGTTCTTACTGGACCCAGTTCCTTGGCATTTCCCTGCACAGTTCCTGTGTCTGAAATGTTACCCATGTCCATGTAGAAGATACTCCCCCTTCCATCTTACTTGACTTTGTGTATGTGTACATATGTGTGGCTCTCCTCTGTGAAGCCACTTGGTTCCTCACAGTGTCCTAACATATTTACTCTCTTAGTGTTCCTCATATACCAGGAGCTGGGCAATGCTGCCTCTGGCAACTAACATTTCCATAGTGCTTATTGGGTACTGCTTTAAGCAATTTATGTATACTATCCCTGAACAGGCTCTTCATTCCATTAATCAGATACAATTACTAATCCCCATCTTTCGGATGAGATTAAAGGGTAGGACTTAGTCCAAGTGGCCTGATAGTAGAACCAGTGCTCTTAACCAGTCCACTGGTGTGCCTTTTGTGGAGAGTTGAATAAGACATGGTTCTAGTTTTCTCCACTCTATTTCCAACAACAGAACACATGTCTTTGGTACTATATTTTCTGTGGTGATTTTCAGTTGTTTTTTTTGACTACCTGTCTGCTAGGCTTTGAGCTCTTTGAGGGCAAGAATTTTATTTTGGTTATTCTTGAAACTGCTGAGCCAGCAGTGTATTTGTATCCTTAGAGCGAGAATAACCCTAGAAGAGTAACAAAGTTCATCATAAAGAAATATAAACAAAAGCACCTCACCCTTTCTCCCTCTGGTGACAGCATTGCTAAAATATCATTAGTATAAACCTTTTCTGGTTCTCCATCAATACCAGGAATCTTTCCTTCGGCAGGAGGCATGAGAGCAAATTCGAGCTTTGAAATGGAGTCGAAGCATTTCCTTAAGTGTGGCTGCACAGCCTGTGGATTTCGTGTCTGGGCCAAAATCTCCAGAAGTTCATCATTTGACAAGAAGTAAAATCTGCATTAAAGAACATCCTTAAAATGTAAGTTGAAATTGAAGTAAAGTCTTAGATAGACATAAAAGATAAATTCCTTAGCCACATCTCTCCCCTGTCTACCAATTTCCTGGACCTCCAATTATTTGGGTCATGGGTTTCTGGGGAGGCCACATATCTCTAAACACGATTTCTGTGAAAATTAGTGATGATGCACCTAGGTGTGATGATGCATACCTAGAATCAGTGCCTAGTACATAAAAAATATGTACATAAAAACTGTAAAAATGCTAGAAACTGTTGTGTTCACATATCTGTTTTACCTAACTTTAAGCCTCCAGAGTAAAAACGTATTATTTGTTTTCCCTAAAATCTGGCCTAGTATGTCACACATAACTAGTATTCAGTCTATGATTTGTTGAAGAGTTAATAGATGGATGGGTAGTTGCAGGAGAACCTTATTGGGTTCTGTGAATGTGTACTGGGCCATTCTCTCAATCCAAAGGTATTCGCTATTCCCTGCAGCACATGCTACTGTGAAAAGGGGCATAATATAATTTTGCGAGCACACCATTTCCAACCATGTGAAGCTATGTAGAAACAAAACATTTATGTATATTTCAATATTATTACCAAAAAGATAGGCAAAGGAAATTATAAACTTACAGAAGATTATTTTGCCATAGATTGGGGTTGGCAAATAACAGCCCACAGGACAAATGTGGCCCACCGCTAGTTTTTGTAAACAAAGCTTCATTGTCACACAGCCATGCAGACATACTGTCTGTGGCTCCTTTTGTGCTACAATAGTGGACCTGGCTACAGAGACTGTCAAGCCTACAAAGCCTTGAGTATCTACTATGTGACCTTTTATGAAAGAAAAATTGTGTCTGCTCTAGATAACCCAGAATATTCTAAATGCCAGTCTTTGTGTAATATAGTTTTTGTATTATGTTTAATCTCTCCAAATCACTCAAAAGGAATTTGATTTATTATTCCAACTGACTATCCTAGTTCATATTAAAACAGGTTAGAGCAATTAACTATTAATGTTTAATACAGTGATTTCCAATTTTTTTTTCAATCAAGGATCCTTTTTATTGCTCTTCCTATCCCTAACTCGCTTATGTTTTAGAGGACTAAATGTATAAACCAGCATTTAGTAAATGCTCTAGACTGTTGACTGTCAACTTAGCAATATCCCTGCATCAGGGAAAAGCTGGAATGACATTTCTAGAATCTCTTTCCAGTAAGGTTTTAATTTAGATGCTGCCTGTGAGATGCTCTTCTATGTGACTGAGAAGGTGGAAGGAAGCAAAGGCATTACTCCCCAACTTGAGCATGGATGACTGAAGTGGGTGGGATTTTATCTGTGGTTTTCAGGCGTCCTCCTGACAATTCCTCCCTTTCTCGTTGCAGGAAGCGGAGACTTTGGTGGCACTTCCCTGAGACCTCTGCCTGTATTTCTGGATTTCCTCATAGTGGTCCTCAGTTCTTCCCTTCTTCTGACTCTAGCGCCAGCAAAAACTTCTAATTCCCTGAATGAAACTTTTGCTCTAAACAGCTAGAGTGGCTTCTGTGTTTTTGACCAAACCTTTCCCAAGTAATACAAACAGATGTTAAAGTTTCAGTTTTGGCTGAAGTTCTAGGACTAGAGTTGTCACATTTCAAAGTGAGATGTCAGGTCACCTGGGGCTGACTCATAAAGAGATGGGTAAAGACTCTGGAGTCCTCACTTGCCTGAGGGTATGAAAGTGTCAAAGCTGAAGAGGCTGGACAGCTAGAGATAGGAACATTTTTTGGTAGAGAGGTGTGCTAAGGGTGCTTGCTATGCCCATGAAAAAGGGTGGGGTTCACTCTCCTCAAGACTAGGCATCTTGGAAAACTTAACATGGATTTCCACCAATTAACCTAAAGAAAATTGCTCAGGCAACACCAGTCTCTAACCGTTTATGCACACATCTGAGCACACATACACACATGCACAGGCACACATATTCATTCAACAGTAAAATGATAAAACAATGGGGTGATGAAGAATCATTTCAATTTGTGAGATCTAAAAATCGAAACAATTGAACTCATGGAGATAGAGAGTAGAAGGATGGTTACCAGAGGCTAGGAAGGGTAGTGGAAGGATTGGGGTTGGGGAGGTGGGGATATTTAATGGGTACAAAAAATAGGAAGAGCGAATAAGACTTAGTATTTGATAGTACAACAGGGTGACTATAGTCAATAATAATTTGGTCATCAATAATAGTCATTTAATAGCCAATAATAATTTAATTGTACATTTAAAATCACCAAGAGAGCATAACTGGTTTGTTTGTAACACAAGGAATAAATGCTTATGGAGATGAATACCCCATTTTACATGATGTGATTATTATGCATTATATGCCTATGTCAAAACATGTTATGTACCCCATAAATATACACACTGATATACCCACAAAAATTAAAATAGATAAAATTATTTCAACAACTTAGATACTTACCGACTTAAATATTTATTGAATATTGTGTCTTTGTCCTTGAGATTTATACTCCCCAGTTAAGATAACTAGCTGGATTTTCATTATCATAGATCTTTTTGTCTCTCTAGTTCCTTGATGCTTTGTGGTTATAACTATAATCTCAACTTGATCGGCAATCATAACTACTAAAAAGTATCTTAGGTTGCTTTATAAACTTACCTTGGAAAGATAACTCTTTTTGATTCTAAGTATGCCTCTAGGCACTTCTGAATTTGGTCAAGTAATGCATTATTGTTTTGAAAAGTTTCCAGAAGTCCTGTTCATTAAAAAAAATACTATTGGTAAAACTGTGTTAAAATCAAATTTTTTTTTCAGAAAAAATTGTCCCTTTAAAATGTAATCAATTTATGAATCTTCTTTCTAGAAAACTCTTTAATAAAACTCTTTAATAAAAATATGCTCTGAATTGTCCAAATCTAAAGTTAAAATGACTCATGAAATTGAAATGGCAGTAAGAAAATTACAGTTACATCATTAGCAAACGCTGACAGTTTGATGTCCTCTTTACCAATCTGGATGTCCAGACAGTATCTGCTGTCTTCAAGAGACTCACCTAACCTATCGGGACTCACATAAACTTAAGGTAAAGGAGTGGAAAAAGATATTCCAAGCAAATGGACACCAAAAGTGAGGAGGAGTAGTTATTCTTAAAGAAGACAAAACAAACTTTAAAGCAAAGCCATTTAAAAAAGACAAAGAAGGATATTATGTGATAAAAGGACTTTTCCAACAAGAAAATATCACGGTTCTAAATATATATGCACCTAAAACTGGAGCTCCCGAATTTATGAATTTATAAAACAATTACTACTAGACTGAAGAAATGACATAAACAGCAACACAATAATAGTGGGGACTTCAATACTCCACTGACAGCACTAGACAAGTCATCAAGATCAAAAGTCAACAAAGAAACAACTTAAACTACACCCTAGAACAAATGGACTCAACAGATATTTACAGATCATTCTACCCAACAAACGCAGAATATACATTCTATTCATCAGCACATAGAATATTCCCCAAGATAGACCATATGATAGGCCACAAAACAAGTCCCAATAAATTTAAGAAAATAAAAATTATATCAGGTACTTTCTCAGATCACAGGTGAATAAAACTGGAAATCAAAAGGAATTCTCAAAACCATACAAATACGTAAAAATTAAATAACTCTAAAGACTCATTCAAAAAGCTCCTAGAACTGATCAATGAATTCAGCAAAGTTTCAGGATACAAAATTAATGTACATAAGTCAGTAGCTCTGCTATACACCAACAGTGACCAAGCTGAAAATCAAATCAAGAACTCAACCCCTTTTACAATAGCTGCATAAAAAAATAAATAAATAAACAACTTAGAAATACACCTAACCAAGGAGGTGAAAGACCTCTACAAAGAAAACTAGAAAATACTGCTGAAAGAAATCATACAACACAAACAAATGGAAACACACCCTATGCTCATGAACGGGTAGAATCAATATTGTGAAAATGACCATTACTGCCATAAGCAACCTATAAACTTAATGCAATTATCATCCATATACGACCACCATTCTTCACAGAGTTAGAAAAAAACAATTCTAAAATTCATATGGGACCAAAAAAGAGCCCACATATCCAAAGCAAGACTAAGCAAGAAGAACAAATCTGGAAGCATCACATTATCTGACTTTAAACTATACTATAATGCCTTAGTCACCAAAACAGCATGGTACTGGTATAAAAATTGGCACATAGACCAATGGAACAGAATAGATAACTTGAAAATAAAGTAAAATACTTACAGCCAACTGATCTTCAACAAAGCAAGCAAAAACATCAAGTAAGGAAAGGACAGTTTATTCAACAAATGGTCCAGGGATAACTGGCAAACCACATGTAGAAAAATGAAACTGGATCTTCAATTCTCATCTTATACAAAAATCAAATCAAGATGGATCAAACACTTATATCTAAGACCTGAAACCATAATTCTGGAAGGTAATATTGGAAAAAACCCTTCTTGACATTGACTTAGGCAAAAACTTCATGACCAAAATCCCAAAGCAAATGCAACAAAAACAAAGATAAATAGATGAAACTTAAACTAAAAACTTCTGCACAGCAAAAGAAACAATAAGCAGAGGAAACAGAGAACTCACAGAGTGAGAGAAAATCTTCACAATCTGTACATCTGGCAATGGACTAATATCTAGAATCTACAAGGAACTCTAAACAAGTCAGCAAGAAAAAAGCAATCCCATCAAAAAGTGAGCTAAGGACATGATTAGACAATGCTCAAAGAAGATATACAAATGGCCTAGAAACATATGAAAAAATGCTCAACACCACTAATTATCAGGGAAATGCAAATCAAAACCACAATGCGATACCACCCTACTNAAAAAAAAAAAAAAAAAAAAAAAGATAGGTGTTTGTGTGGAGATGATGAAAAGGGAACACTTTTACACTCCTGGTGGGAATGTAAACTAGGACAACCACTATGGAAAACAGCATGGCGACTCTTTAAAGAACTAAAAAGTAGATCTACAATTTGATCCAGTAATCCCATTACTGGGTAACTACACAGAAGAAAAGAGGTCATTATACAAAAAATATTATTGCACATGCATGTTTATAACAGCACAATTTGCAATTGCAAAAAATACAGAACTAGCCCCAATGTTTATCAGTCAATGAATGGGTAAAGAAAATGTGTGTATATATGCCATGGCATACTACTCAGCCATAAAAAGGAATGAAATGATGCATTTGCAGCAACCTGGGTGGTTTTGGAGACCATTATTCTAAGGGAAGTAAATCAGGAATGGAAAACCAAGCATTATATGTTCTAAATCATAAATGGGAGCTAAGCTATGAAGACACAAAGGTGTAAGAATGATACAATGGACTTAGGGGATGAGGGGTAAGGGTGGGAGGGAGGTGAGGGATGACAAGATAAAAGACTGCACACTGGGTACTGTGTACACTGCTTGGGTGGTGGGTGCACCAAAATCTCAGAAATCACCACTAAAGAACTTATTCATGTAACCATATATGGCCTGTTACCTCAAAACCTATTGAAATACAAATAAATAAATAAAAGAAATGCAATGGCAGTGGTATGGTCTTTTCAATAAAAGATATTAACTAAAAAATCAAGAAAGATAATTTTAAGTAAAGTTAAAATATAATGTTAATATTTTAAAAGCTTTGGTATTATTTGATAAAGGAATGCTCTAATACATTAAAATGGGGGACACTAAGAATTTTAACTATTACCTTTAATAATAATTTAAGTATTTACAAAGTGTGAACAAGTATATTTAATATGAAACATTTTTAGCCGGTGTACCCCACTTTTGGGAGGCTAGGAGTACAAATCCAAAGCCAAGCAGTTGCCTTCTCCTTGACTCTCCAAACGAAGCCAGAGTCTATACCTACTCATTGTCTGTCACTTTCTTACTGGCGTCTTTTCTGTATCCTCTGCCATCTTTAAATGCTAAAATTGTGGGGATGGGATACTATTTCTTCATCACTAAACTACAGCTCCTTAAGGAGCAAGATCCATGTCTTATTTATCTTTGTAGTTTTGGTGTCTATCATAGTAGCTGATGTCCTCACCTGCCCAAGAATCAAATCCACAGTCTTTATCATGGTTTCCAAGGGTCTATGTAATCAATGAGTAGTCTGATGCCCAGTCCCCAACCTAAGTACTCTTGCCTCTCTTGCTTCACCACCTAAGCCCTTCTTCTGCATTCCACTTCAGCTCGCATTGGCTTTCTTGCAAACAGTTGTACATGTGAAGCATGCACTTGCCTTGGGAGCCTTGCTTTGATTTTCCCTCCTCCTTTAACAATGTTCCTTTGATAATACACATGACTCGCTCCCTTATTTCTGCAGGTTTCTGCTCAAAAGCTTTATCAAAAAAAAAGCCTTCTGTCTGTCTGTCTGTCTCTCTCCCTCCCCCTTTGGCCCGTTTACTCTACTTTATTATTTTTTTTCATAGCTTTATCATCACCTAAATGATCTATATAAGTCATATAAGTCTCCATTCTTATCTGACATCCTTGGAAGCAGATGTATTTTTGAATCAATTTTTCTTAAATTTCAGAAGTTATATTTTATATCAAGTCTAGTAGGGACTGGGATAGCACTCTGTAATCAAACATAGTTCTCACAGAAAAATGTTTCAACATGACAAGTGAGTGCAGTAGACAGAATAATGGCCCTTTAGAGATGTTCATATCCCAATCCCCCAAATCTGTCAATATGTTAGGACACACAGAAAAGAACTCTGCAGATATGATTAAGTTAGATCAGGATCATATGATGAAGAGACTGTCCTGGATTGCCTGGTGGACTGATCATACATAGGCCATTATAAGCTGGAGGCAGGAAGGTTGGAGGCTGATAAGGAGATGTGATGACAGAAGCAGAGGTTAGTGTGCTGAGATTACGGGCTGGAAGAGGGCCATGAGCCAAGGAATGTGGGCCGCCTCTAAAAGACCCAAAGAGTTTTCAATTCTATTATTCCATATAGTGTTCTTTTCCATTTCTGTCTTATGTCAGAGTTTTTGGGCAAAGAGTGCAGCCCAGTAACCGCTGCAGGGAAGCTGTCTGAGGACATTTACCAGGCTGCACCATGTGTTGCTATTTCCTCAACAAGAGGCAAGCTTGTTGTTCAGGAAATAGCAAGACTTTTACTTAAAGCATAAAGTTCAAGAGCAATATGTGTGCCCTGAAAGACTTTGATTCCACATCCACAGAAACAGAACTTATTAAAACACATTTCAACCTTGAGACTAGAAATGCAATAAGTGGTAATATTTTTTAACTAGTTTTAATGAATTCATTAAAAATAAGGCATGGAAATTTTCATGGCTACAAATCTGTGGAGGAGCTTTAACAGAGTATCAACTGAATGCGAATGTTTGTCTTCTTGTCAAAATTCTGAGATGAAAACATCACTGATACCCTAGAGCAATGTCTCCAAACCATAAAAACAGCAAAAATAGGCAGATTCTCCTTTTCCAAAACTACAAACTAAGCTGAGAGGTAATAATAATAAAAAAAAGTCAAGTGTCCCATTGACATTGTTTAGCAAGTATGTCAAATGCAAGTATTCTTTGTCACCCATACTGACTAGAATCAAGGGCTGAATGGACCACATGTTATTAAGTTCCCAGAAAAGAGAAACATTTTAGGTGATTGTAGTCTTTTTGCTTGTTTGGAATTTTGTTTATACCTGGCTGAGTAGCAGCTCGAAGAGCATTAGGCAGTCGATTCACCTTCCTCATGATTTCTTTCCATGACTTATCCACCTGAAGGAACATCTTGGCCTCTGCAGGCAATTGCCTCTGAATATCTGGAGCATTGAAAATACTTTCTAGGTAGAGCCAGTTTCTCTGGCAGGTCAGCCACTCTTCCTAGGAGAAGAATATGGACATTGTCAAATTTTAATTCCCCTATTAAAAATATATGGTTATAGTAAAAATCATGACAGAAGGAATCACTATATCTTTTTCCTTGAGGGTGGTGTTATAGCTCCTCACAGGTCTTTTGAAATTAAATTCCTTATAAGGTCCAAGATTCACCTTAGTCTGATTTCATCCCACTGTCTACAGGTTTTCCATCTAGTTACCAGAGTTCTAACAGGTTTTCCTTGTAGTTACCAGAATGGATCCAGAGAAACATGATTAAAATACCCACAGGAGAGATTCAGGGGGTAGCACGATGCTTATGTAGGGAAATCTAGAGGGAAGAGGAAAGTTTAGTGACCATTTTCAAATATATACAAGATGTTTGTGAAAAAAGTTTGTTTTTTCTCTCATCTCTATCATGTGTATATTCTTCCTTTACCTTTCTTTAAAAAAGAAAATTAAAAAAAAAAAAACCCTGCTCATGACAGCAAATGTGGACTGGAAGAAGAAAATCATGCATTCCCTTGGCTTTTAGACAATCACTGTCAATAAAAGAAATCAGAAATACAGGGTCAGAAATTAAACGTCTGTAGACCTCACGTTTCCTCTGTGTCTCCTGCTGTTATTACATGTGTGCACCAAAAATCCATGAAAGAGTTCCTCACTTCTCACTCTAGGTTTGGGAGTAAGCTCAAATGTCACAACCACTTCCTGGTTTATCTCAGGTCTCACACTTTCCAGGCAATTCATTCTCTGGAGGGTCCTCATTATTCAGCTCAGGCTTCTTTCAAGGACCCTCTATGAAAATGTCCCCCTTGACTTTGATCTGTAGTTCCTCCTTTCACAAGGCTCGGCCATCAGTCCAGAAGGCTGGAGAGGGCCCAGACAATCTGGTTGGTTGAAGAAGATGAATTTCTGAGAAAGTTCTCTTTGAAACAAAGTTGGCACAAGTTATTTTTTCCTCTTACTGCCTTTATTATTTCATAGATAACTTTTCAGATTAGAAAATCTGGAAACCTAAACATAATTAAGTCAAGCTAAGTATCTGAAGTCTAAGAAAGAGATTGGATGGGAACAAAGTGAGCTTGGGTTCTTTGCTTTGCTATGGGACAATTGAAGATGGAATAAAATTAAAAGGACATGTGTACCACAAGGAAGAATTCCAAGGAGACTTCAAGCAACAAAAAGCATTCTTCCAGTGAATATAAAGTTGTAGCAAGACTCATAAGCTGGCCCCTAAGATGTGGTGTTTACATCCCTGTGTAATCCTCTCCCCTTGAGTGTGGGTGCCATCTGTGACTTGCTCCCAGGCATATGGGATGTGGCAAAGGTAACAGAATGTACATAATTATGTTCATATTATGTAAGGCTGTACTAGTCATCTTGCTAGGATCCTTTTTCTTCCTTGCTAGATTGATGTAGCCAACAATTCATGTCGGGGAAGCCCACACATGAAAAACAAAACAAAACAAAACAAAAACCTGTGGGCAATACCTAGGAGCTGAGGATGGCCTCCAGCTGAGAGCCAGCAAGAAATTGAAGCCCTTAGTCCAAGAATTGCAAGAAAATAATTTCTTCCAACAACTAGAGTGAGGTTGGAAGTGGACCATTCCCTAGTTAAACTTCTGATGAGAACCCAGTCTGGCTGACATCGTGATTGCAACCTTGTGAGACCCTGAGGAAGAGGCCTCAGGTAAACCATCCCAGAATTCCTGAGCCACAGAAACTGTGAGATAATAAATATATATTGTTTAAGTTTGTAGTATTTGTTTCACAGCAAAATAAGAATATGGGCATGCTTTGTTTTACTGTGCTTCACTTTATTGTACTTTGCAGATATTGCATTTTTGACAAATTGAAGTTTGGCGGCAATGCTACATCAAGAAAGTTAATTCATGCCATTTTTTTCCAACATGTTCTCACTTTGGCTCTGGGTCACATTTTGGTAATTCTTGCAATATTTAGAACTTTAAAAATACTAGTATTAAGCATTATTATTTTTTATATCTGTTATGGTGATCTGTGATCAGTCATCTTTGATGTTAAGATTATAATTGTTTTGGGGTGCCATGAACCATGCCCATGCTTAATTGATAAGTATTATATATGTTCTGATTGCTCCACTGACTGGCTGTTCCCCTGTTCCCCCATCTCATTTCTTCTCTTCAGTGTCCCCCTCCCATTCCCTGAGACACAACAATATTGAAATTACACCAATTCATAACACTACAAGGCCTTAAGTGTTCAAGTGAAAGGAAGAGTCACATGTCTCTCAATTTAAATCAAAAGTTAGAAATGATTAAACTTAGTTAAGAAGGCATGTCAAAATCCAAGATATGTCAAAAGCTTAGTCTCGTGGACCAAACAGTTAAGACAGTTGTGAATGCAACATCAGTGAACACACAAACGATAAAAAGCCAAAAACCTATTTCCGATTTGGAGAAACTTTGAGTGGTCTGAATAGAAGATAAAACCAACCACAACATTCCCTTAAGCCAAAGCCTAGTCCAAGGCAAGACCCTAACTCTTTTCAATGAGAGGTGAGAAATCTGTGGAAGAAAAGTCTGAAGGAGGCAGAGCTTGATTCGTGAGACTGAAAGAAGCTATCACTGCAACATAAAAGTGTAAGGTGAAGCAGAAAGTGCTGATAAAGTTGCAGCAAGTTATCCAGAAGATTTAGCTAAGATCATTGATGAAGGTGGTTACTCTCAACATCAGATTTTCAATGCAGACAAAATAACCTTCTATTAGAAGAATATGGCATCTAGACTTTCATAGCTAATGAAGATAAGCCAATGCCTGGCTTCAAAGATTCAGAGGACAGGCTGACTCATGTTAGCGAAAAATGCAGGTAATGACTTTGAGTTAAAACCAGTGCTCATTTACCGTTCAAAAAATCTCAGGGCCTTTAAGAATTATGCTAAATCTACGCTGTCTATGCTCTAAAACTGAAATAAGAAAGCCCATGTGACAGCATATCTGTTTAAAGCATCATTTATTAAAGATTTAAGCCTACTGTTAGGCCTACTGCTCAGAAGACAAGACTTCTTTCAAAATATTACTGTTCATTGACAATGGACCTGGTTACCCAAGAGCTCTTATGGAGATGTACAAGGAGATTAACGTTGTTTTCATGCCTGCTAACACAACATCCATTCTGCAGCCCATGGATTAAGGAATACTTTCAATTTCAAAGTCTTATTATTTAAGGAATACATTTTGTAAGGTTATAATTGCCATAGATAGTAATTCGTCTGATGGATCTAGGAAAAGTGAATTTAAAAACCCTCTGGAAAGGACTATTCATTCTAGATGCCATTGAAAATATTTGTCATTCATGGGAGGAGGTCAAAATATTAACACTAATAGGAGTTTGGAAGAAGCTGATTCTACCGTATAGATGACTTTGAGAGATTTGAGACATCAGTGGAGGAAATAACAGCAGATGTAGTGGAAATAGAAGAACTAGAATTAGAAGTGGAGCCTGAAGATGTGACTGAATTGCTGCAATATTATGATAAAACTTGAACAGATGAGGAGTTGCTTCTTATGGATGAGTAAAGAAAGTGGTTTTATCAATGGAATCTACTCCTGGTGAAAATGCTATAAACATTGTTGAAATGACAACAAAGGATTTAGGATATTACATAAACATAGTTGGTAAAACAGCAGCAGGGCTTGAGAACATTGAGTCCAATTTTGAAAGAAGTCTGTCATGGGTAAAATGCTATAAAATATTGCATGCTACAAAGAATTTTTTAAATAAAAGGAACAGTCAATAAATGTGGCAAACTTCATTGTTGTCTTATTTTAGGAAATTGCCACAGCTCCCTGCCACCTTCAGCAACCACCCATAAACATTGAGGCAAGATCTTCTACCAGCCAAAAGATGATGAGTCGCCGAAGGCTCAGATAATCATTAGCATTTTTAGCAATATAGCATTGCACACTTAATGGACCACAGTACAGTATAAAAAATAATTTCAACTTATATTTTAGATTCAGGGTTACATGTGCAGGTTTGTTAAATGAGTATGCTGTGTTATGCTGAGGTTTGAGGTAGGAATGACCTTTCACTCAGATAGCGAGCATAGTATCCAATGGATAGTTTTTCTGCCTTTGCACCCTTCTTTCTCTCCCCTCTTTAGTAGTCTCCAGTGTCTATTGTTCCTATCTTTATGTCCATGTGTTCCCAATTCAACATAACTTCTTATGTTCTTGGAAACAAAAAATTCATGTGGCTTTCTTTATTGCAACATTTGGATTACTGTAGTGGTCTGGAACCAAATCTGCAATATCACTGAAGTATACCTGTGCAAGGGTGATGGTAATAGCATTAAGCTGTATACATATATAAAGAAGAGCTCAATACCTGTGCATTTCTCTTACATTCTAAACACGATAACATGTCCACAGTTAAAGCTTACATTATAAAACCATATAACATTTAAATAAAAAAAATTATTTCTAAGGTCCTTGTGATTCTCTAATTCTCTGAGTGTATGAATTGAAATTATTCTTACTCACCAGTGTTTGATTAAATAAAGCAAGTTGTTTTTGCCATTCATCCACTCGAGTTTTCAGTGGACCAACGTAACGTGATGAGGCAAGGGTTGCAACATTGATGGTGCTATCATCAAGAAGGACCTTTAAAGGAAGGGGAAGAAAATATATGCAGCACCAGGTATTTGTACTCTCAGCAATATTTCAGATACATAATCCCAAGAGTCCACTTAAAGGCAAACTCTTTGAATTAATAGCTTAGCCCCTCCTACTGTTTCCTACTCATCAATTTCCCCTCATTATTCACATCTTTGTGGCACTGTGATGTTATTTCAAAGGTCACCCAGGACTTCTGATTGCCAAATTTCTGTTGCTCCTGTAATTATTCATGGCACAAGTTTTTGTATGGTTCAACACTCTTCTCCTGTCTCTCCTCACTGTTAGGTAACTAGTACCTTCTTAACATAATTTGATCACCTGGTCTTGCCTTCATTTCTCAAAATATCATATACTGGCAAAATTGCCTGTTGTCTGTCCAGTGAATTATCACTTTCTCTCAATTATCTTAAGGCAGAAATGAACTCATTCATATCAAGCTCTGAATGGTTATAACAGTTTCTCCTCCACCTCCATCGTCTACTACTCCCCTTTATACAACAGCATCTCTCACAGAGCATGTGAATTTTTAAAAATGTGTCTGTTAATCTGAAAGATTTAATGGTCCATTTCAATAACAAGCTTTTGAGAGTAGAAGCTGCACCATCTGACATCAATTGCCCTAAACTTACTCACCTCTTTGAGTCTCCTCTCCCACCCATAGTGCAGAGTGATGTCTGGTCTTGCTCCTCCAACCTACAACTGGCAAAGCCATTCTATCTCTAATTCTAGCCTGGGTACTCTCTATCAGGCCAGAGCTTTGCCTTTTAAGTTGGGCTACGTGACTGAGCTCTCTTTGCTAAACAAATGTTCCTTCAGATTTTAAAGACTATTCCAAATACATGGGTTAGATTTATTTTCTTTTATGGTTGACAGAGCATGGCTGTCGTTTCCTAATTTCAACACATTCAAGTGAATTTAGCCTTTCAGGGCACTATAAACATGAAATGCTCATTCAGGTTTCTTTGTCTTGTTTATAGGGTTTGAAGTGGTCTTTATTTTTTTCTATGTCTATCAAATCCCATCTAATATTTAAGATCCACCTTGTTATGACTGGTCTAGGAAGAATGCTCTGATCATTTCGACTGTAACTGATCTTTCTGTTTTCCTAAATTCCTCAACAGTTACCAACTACAGGTTGCAACTCTTATATATACATATTCCATTTTTAATGCTTTGTTAAATATTTCACGTACAAGCATTCATGTCAATTATTTGCATTCATCTTGCTTTTCCAATTAGATTTTTTTCTTCTTAAGTGACTCTCATATTTTATTCCCGCATCATAATCTCTCACAGAAGATTAGAACTAGCTGTGGCTGGAAACTTTACCTTAAGTTTTCAATAATCTGGTTACCCACCTGTATGTCATCTGTGCCGCCCAGTATAAACACATCTTTGGCATCACGGTGAGGCAGAATGACAAATTCAGTTGCTTTCCAAGAGTCTTCCACCTTAGAAATAATTCAAGTCTTAGGATATCTAAATTCACTGTGTTTAGATAATCAATAAATGCATGTGAGATGAAATAAGTAAAAACTCCATAATAATCTCATTTTCCTCCTTATTGCTCTTTAAAATTCATAAAATCTTCTTCTTGGATAAATGACACAGACTTGCTTAATTTTATTTGACTGATATTAACACACATGCTTTGAGAGAAAAAAATCTTTTTATGCAGAGGATTAGTAGGTGTGTATATATCTTTAGGTTAAGGAGATAGTATCATAACTAAGAAAATCTTGATGTCTTTTAAAGCATTTAACAGATTTCTCGGGTAGTTTGGAAGATAGTGTATTTGGGTTTAAAAGATCTTTCTTGGTATATAATATTTTATATAAGCATCCACATTTCAAACCTTGTGGCCATCAAGTTCCTATGTGCTGTAGGATAAGCAGAAGATCTTTAGAGGTGATAACAGTAATATCTGTTGTAAGGAAACAATAGAGGGATGACTGATAATGAGAGAGTGAAAGCTGCAACATTGAAAAATCCATCCAGATTACCAAAAGTGAACCTGAAAACTTTCACATTCCCTAATTATATAGATAAATATACATTCCAGATTTACCTTTTTAAGAATTGTTTCTAAGGCAGCTTCTCCAGAAGCCTGTCCAGATATGTCCTGGATTTCTTGACCGAAGTCAAAAACATGCAACTCAGAGAGCCTCTCCAAGGTTAATGGAATTTCAGTATCCACTAGAGTGGCATCAACTGTTTGTTCAATAGCTGCCCAATGTCTTGGCTTCAAAGCCGGGTTCCTCAAGTCAATGATAACTGGAAGCTGAAAAGCAAACATTCTCAGAGACATGAAGACATGATGCTTTTTATCTTAAAAATATAACCCAAAGCTTCTGGTTTCAAACTGTGCACGTAGAGAGCTGGAAAGAGCACCACTTACCCGTCTTTCCACAAAGCAAAATCTGGACAACTGCAAATTAATGACTCTAATTGAGCCTATTGAAAACCAAGTTTGCAGGGCAGAACCAACTCAAAGTTTGGAGGGAGATTGATACTGACAGGTTTCTCCGCAAGGAGAAACAGTAACTGAGAATTTTCCTACCTGGGGCAGATTCCTTGGGATGACATATGAACTATTAAGAAGATAAGAAGATTCAGCTAAATTTAAAAAATAGAGTGCTAAAGATTAAGTGCGGGGTAGCATGAGAATGGAAAGTCTCTGAGCCTGCAAATACAGTGGTGCTGACAGTGAAGATTAAAAGGATTCTTAAGAAAGTTTCCTTTATGATGCTGGCTGAGGGAGGGAAACAGTGGCCATTATATAGTAACTCTAACAAATTCATCTCCCCTACCTCCTCTGTGGAACAAAGCCCTTGACGTACAGAGAAAGGAACAACAAACTGCTACCTTAAGGCACTGGTGATAACTCATTGGCAATATCTTTCTATAACTGGAGAAATAGAACATGGAAAAAAAGCAATTTACCCTTGGGGGAGGGACAGAAATAAATGCCAGGCTCACTACAGCTGGAGAAGTGGGAGGAACATCTGCGATAGGAATTCTGAGAACAAGAGCTATAGCGCCTCACAAAGATAGAGGTTTAATCAGAGCATGAGGGGAATGTTCCTTCTCACTTCTCCCACCAGGTTAACAACTATTGAATAAGAATAGCAGTGGGATACAGAGTAGAAAGCTGCAAGTGACAGCTTCTCAGTGGGGCACAACACAAAGGGAAGACCCAAGGTCAGGGGAAAATAGGAATTGAGGAAATAACCTTTGGTAAACCAGCCCAACCCTAAATTCAAGGTATCACTAGAAAAATTTGAATTTGAGTACCCTGTGGTGCACTCAGGGTAACCATAGCAACATCAACCCTTAAACCTAGCCCAATTTCAAACTACATTTAACACAACATATCACACAAAAATGCAAGTAGAAGAAGAGGCATGCTCATTTCCAAGCATAAATATTATTTACTTTGGTATTTACCGTACTATATAAGATATCTGGCTTTGAACAAAAAATTAAGATGCATGGGAAAAGGCAAGAAAAACCACACATCTAAGAGACAAAACAATAATCAGACCCAGAAATGACACATATGTTGGAAGTAGATAATTTGAAATAACTATGATTAATATGTTAAAGGTGCTAATGGAAAAGGTAGATAACAAGCAAAATCAGTTGGGAAATGTCAACAGAGAGATGGAAAGTACAATTACAAATTGAACTAAAATGCTAGAAATAAAAAAGACAGTATAAAAGATAAAGAATGCCTTTAGTGGGTTTAACACAGCCAAGGAATTAATGAACTTGGAAGATTAGTGAGTATAAATTCCAGAAACTGACATGCAGAGAAAAAAGAGGGAGAAAAGAAAATAAAAACAGAACAGAGCATCCAAGACCTGTGGGACAATGTCAAATCGCCTAACGTACATATCATAGAAATCACAGAAGGAAAAGAGAGAGAGAGAAAACAGAGCAGAAGAAATGCTTGAAAAATAACAGCTGCAAAATTTTTCAAAATTAAAAACAAGTACCAAATCACAGATCCAAGAAACTCAAGAGAACATCAAGCAAAATAAATTTGAACAGTAAACAACAACATATGCACACCTAGGCATACTCTATTCCTAACTGATGAGAATCAAGATGAAGAGAAAATATTGAAGGTGGCCAGACAAAAAAGGACACATCATCTATAGAACAACAAGAATTTAAAACTACAGCAGACTGCTTGTCCAAAATCATGCAAACAAGAAAAGAGTACCTCCAAATTACTGAAGGAAAAACAGAAACAAAAACTGTTGACTCAGAATTATATACCCAGTGAAAATATCATTCAAAATGAAAGGATAAAGACTTCTTCAAAATAAAAACTGAGGGAATTAATTATTACCATACTTACTCTATTAGAAATATTAAAGGATATTCTTTAGGCAGAATGAACATGTTATGAGTCAGAAACTTAGATCCACACAAAGCAATAAAGAACATTGGAAATGGAATACATGTAAAGTAAAATTTATTTTCTTTTTTATTTTTATTGCTCTAAAAGATAACTGTCTGGAGCAAAAATAGTAAAAATAAGTTATATTTATAATATATATAAATATAGACATACCATCAGCACAAAGAATGTATGGAGGAATTAATTGGGTGTATACTATTATAAGGTCTTTATACTACATGTAAAATAGTAAAATATTATTTGAAGGTTGATTTAATTATAAATTTATATTTTAAGCCTAGAATAACAATTTTAAACAATTTTCTAAACATTATATAAAAAGTGGTATGAATAATTTCATTGAGAAGATAAAATGAAATAATAAAATATGCAATTAAATTAAAAGAAGGCACAAAAAGAGAGAAAAAGAAACAAAGAACCAATAGACTAAAACAGCTGACAAGGTGGTAGATTCAATATAACTATATATATAATAACTTTAAATGTGAATGGTCTACACACAGCTGTTAAGAGACGAAGAATACTGGATTAAAAAAAAGAAGTCAATTATATGCTATCTAAAAAAAATCTATTTTAAATATAAAAACACAGATAAAAGTAAAAATGGAGAAAGCCATATCATATGAACACTGAAAGAAAGCTGAACTAGCTATATTAATTTCAGATAATGTAAATGTTAGCAAGGAATCTTACCAGAGAGATAAAGAGAGACAATTCATAAATGACAAAAGGGTTAATTCCTCAAAAAGAAGTAACAATACTAAATGTGCACACTTCCAACAACAGAGCATCAAATTAAATGAAGCACCACTATCTTGAGGTGGCAGTAACATCATAAAATTATTCATTCATTCATTGAATCATTTATTTGTATCAGTATGAATTCATGGATATTTATTTTCTAACTTGGGCTATAATACAATACTAGATTTTTTTTTTTTTGCCTGAAATTATTAAGGCTTTGGCCATCGAGACTTCTTTGCCCTTTTGATACTCTCCCATGATTTTGTTTTTTGAACCCTTTCTTACTTGCTGTCACTTCAAGATGCTCCAGGCTCATCTTATGTATTTCCTGACACAATTTAATAGTATTAAAAATGAAAATCTAGATAGAGATTATGCTCATTGCTACCGGGGTGACAATGCTTTTAGGAGGTGGAACATAAATTTCCACCCCTTAAGTATGGCTATGCATAGTAACTTCCTTTCAAATAATACAGTATGGAAAAAGCAACCTAATAATCCTAATTCTAGTTATTTATCCAAGTTAATAGAAAACTCATGTTCACACAAAACAAAAAGCTGTACATGAATGTTTATAGCAGTTTTTATTAATAATCACTACAAAGTGAGACAGAACACAGATATCTTTTATCAAGTGAATGAATAAATAAACTATGATATATCTATATAATGTAATACTAGAAAATAAAAATAAATGAACTGGCTGGGCATGATAGCTCAGGCCTGTGATTCCAGCACTTTGAGAGGCTGAAGCAGAAGGATCACTTGAGCCCAGGAGTTCAAGATCAGCATGAGCAACACAGTGAGATCCTGACTCATTCTGTCACAGATGCTGGAGAGGATGTGGAGAAATAGGAACACTTTTACACTGTTGGTGGTAGCGTAAGTTAGTTCAACCATTGTGGAAGACAGTGTGGCAATTCCTTAAGGAACTAGAACTAGAAATACCATTTGACCCAGCAATCCTATTACTGGGTATATACCCAAAGGATTATAAATCATTCTACTATAAAGACACATGTACAAATATGTTTATTGCAGTACTGTTCACAATAGCAAAGACTTGGAACCAAACAAAATGCCCATCAATGATAGACTGGATAAAGAAAATGTGGCACATATACACCATTGGAATACTATGCAGCCATAAAAAAGGATGAGTTCATGTCCTTTTCAGGCACATGGATGAAGCTGGAAACCATCATTCTCGGCAAACTAACACAGGAATAGAAAACCAAATACCACATATTCTCACTCATAAGTGGGAGCTGAACAATGAGAACACATGAACACAGGAAGGGGAACATCACATACTGGGACCTGCTGGGGGGTGGAGGACAAGGGGAGGGATAGCATTAGAAATACCTAATGTAGATGATAGGTTGACGGGTGCAGCAAGCCACCATGGCACATGTATACCTATGTAACAAACTTGCACGTTCTGCACAGGTATCCCAGAACTTAAAGTATAATTTTATAAAAGCAAGAAATGAACTACTGCTTCACATGAAAACAAGGAAGAATCTTTTTTTCTTAAAAAATTATAATTCACAGGGTTATGCTACCATCACCTCTATCTGATTTTAGAACATGTCATCACCCCAAAAGGAAACTCCATACTCATTAGGTCCCATAAGCAGTCACTCCTATTTCTTCCTCCCCATACTGCCTGGTGATCATAAGTTTACTTTCTCACTAAAAATTTCTCTATTCTGGACATTTCATATAACTTACATATGCTATCTGGCCTTTTTTTTTGTGACTGGCTTCTTTTACTTTGCATTATGATTTTAAACTTTTTGTCTTAATTTTTGCAGACACTAGGTCCCACTATGATGTACAGTCTGGTCTTGAACTCCTGGGCTCAAGTAATCCTCCCATCTTGCCTTCCAAAGCATTGGTCACTGCACCCAGCCTAGCATCATGTTCTTAACGTTTGTCTATTCTGTTGCACATGACTTAATTTCATTTTGCTACTGAATAAAATTTCATCATATAGATATGCCACATTTTATTTCTCCATTTTATTAACTGATGGAATTTTTTTTTTCTCACTTTTGGCTATTATAAACAAGTCTGCTATGAACATTTGTATTGAAGTTTCTGTGTGAACACATGCTTTCAATAATCCTGGACATATAACTGGAAGCAGAATTACTTGGTAATATGGTAGATTTATATTTTACATCTTGAGCAAATGCCAGACTATTTTCCAAAGTGGCTGTACCACCTTACAATCCTACCAGCAACATGTGAAAGTTCTAATTTCTGCATATTCCCCACAATACTTATTCCTATATACAGCTAGTGCTCGACTTACGACCACGGTCGGGACCGCGGACCGGTCGTAACACGATTTGGTCGTAAGTTGAGTAGGCTATATGTACAGTTGAAATGGTGCACGCGGAGATGGCAGTGCTGCCAGAAGCTGGTCCGCACTGTCGTACGCCCAGCTGGGCAACGTTTGCGCTGCCCACTGCCAGACGCGGAGCAGTCGTGGCTAGCGGTGGTCATAAAGTCGAATGGTTGTAAGTTGCATAGGTGGTAGGTCGATCAATACCTGTAATCTGTCTCTTTGATCATAGCCATCCCAGGGAGTGTGAAGTGCTATCTCATTGTGGCTTTGATTTTCATTTTCCTAATAACTAATGGTGTTCAGTATCTTTTCATGTGTCTTCTTTGGGGAAGGGTGTATTCAAATCTTTTGCCCATTTTAAAGAGTTATTTGTCTTTTTATTTGTAAGAGTATGTTATATATTTTGGGTACAACTACATAGAGGGATCGTAAATGCATTTTGCTGAGTGAATGAAGCTAGACCCAAAAGGCTGCATATTGTATTATTTCATTTAGATAGCATTCTGTAAAAGGCAAAGCTATAGAAGACACAAGACAGATCAGTGGTTGTCTGGAATTGTGATAAAGAGAAAGGCTAACTACAAAGGGACAATGCAAGCAAATTATTTGGGTAATGAAATTATTCTGATTGGGATTGTTGTGTTAGATACATTACTCATTTGTAAAAACCCACAGAACTGTTTGCCACAAAAACTGACCTCTACTGTATGCAAGTCAAAAAAAAATATATAAACCAGGATTTCAAGGGAACCCAAGTTGGAATGCAAACTACATCAAATAAATTTGTTTATTATTGCAAGATACAATCACACTAAAGGCAATAAAGAAGAAAGAAGCTAACTTAACTTGGGAAGTGTTTTGACTAGATATTATAAGCTAAAGGGGAAAAATATTGTGCAAATAATGCTCTTTTCAAGGTGGAAATTTTTCTTCCCATTGTGTCTGAAGCTTTACTTACTTTTCTTTTCCACATCTTTTTAGTTCTTGATTTCATCTTTTAAAAAAAAAACTAAAAAACTAAAATTGCCCAGGTGTGGCGGCTCATGCCTATAATCCCAGCAATTTGGGAGGCCGAGGCGGGTGGATCACCTGAGGTCAGGATTTTGAGACCAGGCTGACCAGCATAGTGAAACCCTGTCTCAACCAAGAAAAATACAAAAAATTAGCCAGGCGTGGTGGCGGGTGCCTGTAATCCCAGCTACTGGGGAGGCTGAAGGAGGAGAATCTTTCGGACCCAGGAGGCAGAAGTTGCAGTGAGACGAGATCATGCCACTGCACTCCAGCCTGGGCAACAAGAGTGAAACTCCGTCTCAAAAAACAAAGAAACAAACAAACAAAACAACAACAAAATACCTTAAAATTGTTTAAAAAACTAAAATCATATCCCTTTTCTTAACCATTTCAAGCACTGGCTTAGCTGAGTTGGTTTCAAAGAGCCAGCCCTGTACACCTGGAGCCTGGTTTCCCAGCTTTCTTCACATCATAGCACATCTAGAAAATGGCATAGTTACGTGGTGCAGTTATGCAAATGGACAAGGTGGATCGGACAAGTTTACCCCAGCCTCAGCTGGCTCCCTAAGGGTTTGAGTGGATCAGTATCTTAGTACAACTACAACCTATTCCTGCACTATTTCCCCTACCACTTGGGAAACACTCTGAATGCCCCTTGTAACCACAGTATTCAACTGCATGATTTGGCCAACTGAAGACAGGGATGCAGCCTGTGCCACTGCAAAAAAATGAATTTGACTATTGTTTTTTTCTGTCTGCAGAGCTGACTAACTTAATCAGGGAAGAATTCCTGATTGTGGTCTCATTAGCATCAATTAATAACCAACTGGCTTAGAGTTTTTGAAATAATTTCTACCAACCTTACCTTTTCTTTCATGGTTTCCACCTTGTGTTTGAGCTGGGGCACTACACTGTTGGGTGGCAAGCCTTTTTCCAGTTGAGACACAAATTTAGCATATTTAGAAACTTGACCGTTGAGAACTTCTGGATCCAGGCAATCAAATTTGGACTATGGAAATTTTAAAAACAAAGCAAAACAAGTTAAAACATAAAACTAAAGTCAAATTTGAAATACTAAAAAAATTTTTAAAAGTTCGCTAATCCAAATCTACACTATATTTTTGGAAATGGCTTTACCTATTAAATTGCTAAAAATATATATCCAGCATCACCTGTTTATCTCTTTCATGTTCTTGTCTCCCACATCATCAAATATAGTATTGCAGTCTCTGCAATTTATTTCTGAGGATTAATATTCATAAAGTCCTCGAAGGATACAAGTAGCTAATTTTTTGCTCTTGCTAACCAGAAATTTCTCACCTAGTAGTCTTCTATTATTTAATTATGCACCTGTTTAACATAAATATTTTAAAGATGTACCCCAATATACTTATAGATCTATAATTATTTTTCTCATTATGTAAACATATAAGTATACACATATATTGACATGTTAGCCATACATGTACACTGATGGCAGTAGAAAATTTGTAAACCTTCATTTTTCTTTTTTTGTAAATTCATTTTCTTTCTGCTCCCTAATGGATTTTCTTGTGTATTTCCTAGGGTGAATGCATCCTACGTTGGAAGTCACTGCTCTAATCCATAGTGGTAATCCGAAAATTCTCTAAGCTGCTTCTTCTTAAGAATATTTTTTTTACTGCTGAGATAAGTGATAAATGACTTAAAGGAGAGCACTTAAAACTGATGTTACAGCATGCATTTGTTTTTGTCTGTTTGTTTTCTATTTTCTCCACCAAAAGGTAAGTTCTATGTTTGAACTTTGTTCTTCTTATTCTCCACTGGCACTCCCAGCAACTAGAACATTATCTGAAACATATTTTACCATGTTACTGTTTTTTAACCAATCCATGTGGCTTCTAATTACAGGCATCAGCATAGGTAGGATGAATAAGAAGTGTAAAACAGTATTTGTAAAGTTGATAGTATTTCTAACATGTCCATACCACACTTGAAAGTATAGGTGGCCATCTATTTTGCCTCATAGAGAGTCGACCCTTGTTAAGATTGAATATAGGGTAGATCCTAGAAACAAAACTCTATGATGGCTGTTGATATTTGGTGAATTTAAAAAGTTTACTACTGAGCTCTCAAAGGAAGATCCTAGATTTTACCACTCTATTCTATTACAGTGAACAAAATGGCTTCCTTTTTTAAAGGACAACAAAAATAGAAACCTAAAGTGTGTAGATCACAAATAAAATGCTACAATCCTCAAGAACACTGGAGCGTATGATGACAACACTGTTTAGAAGCCACAAAGTGATTAAATGTCACACAGTATGTTCCATTGATACTTCCACTATGTAGGTCCTTTCACTAACATGAAGGACCTGAGAAGCCTGGCTTACAAGAATACTTTCTGCTCTGTAGCATTCAGTGACATGAGGACCTTTATGATTTTCACTGGAAAGTTTATAAATATTATCAGAAAATGATACCATTGCATATTTACTGACATTAAGAAAAGCATGAGATTGTTAAAAGTTATAATTCAAATTATAAGAATTTAAGATTAATTCATATAAAAATAATTTAAGAACCGAAGGCTTTTTTTCCTCTACCTTTAACCATTCTTGTTGGAGTTTATCCCATTCAGAGAAAGAATCCCAGAGCAATTGTTTGAGCTTCAGTTCAGCACTAACTTCTTCCAAAGCTTCAAACTTGGACACTTCTACCTATAAAAATGTAGTAAACAAAATGTGCAATTTAGTTTTCAGATATAATGATCATATGCTAATCTCCTATTAGTAATTCTTGGTACAGTGATTACTTGGCAGAATGTGAGGCTTAAATGGGTTAAGAAAAGGAGCACTAGAAACAAATGAAGGAAAAAACAACTCCACAAAACCCCACATATATTACAATTTCCATTAGAGTAACAAAATGTAACTCCTGGTATTTCCTTAGAACTTAAATATACTCCAAAGACATAAATATTATAAGAGTAACATAGGCAGTCTTCTTTGAGTTGGATTATATATGCATATATGTGCTAGATCTTCTAGGGAAAGCAGATGAGTCTTTAGAGGCACTGATTTCTGTTAGGCTTCTGTATTTAAATGGCATAAGAGGAAATGACTGTGCGGTAGCCAGTGGGGAAGACGGTGAAGTTTAAGATGGAAAGGACAGTGTGGTTGTGGTTTCTTACTCTTTTCTAACCATGGATTATATATGAAACTTATGGAGAGGAAAGGTGCAAGAAAATCGGAAGAAGGTGTTTTCATGAGAAGTGTTTTAAGACTGCCTTGGCCCAATGGTGGGGAAACCTTCAGGGAGTTGGTTGCACAGAAATTTTTGGGCTTTGACATTAGGAATTTAGTCTTATTTTCCATTAAGAATTACAAATGATTTCTTGCAACCTAGATCAGTTAGGCTTTCACTCCTATTCTCCAAATAATTGAGAGCCACAGAAGGAAGGCTAGATCAGAGGCAATCAGGAAGGAATCAGTCATGAAGGAGAAAGACACACTTCTATTTCAGGTTCTGTGTTTTTTAAAAATTTATTTTTTAACTAATTTTTTCTTCTTGTGGTAAAAAACACATTACATGAGATCTATTCTTTTAACAAATTTTTAAGTGTAAAGTACAGTAATGATAACAATGTTAACAAAGTTATTTAATGTAACTTTTTCTAGTACTTTTTCACTTTGTATAACTGAAACTTCATACACATAGAACAGCTCCTCATTTCTCCTTCCTTCCAGCCTCTAGAAACCACCATTCCGCTTCTGCTTATATGAGTTTGACTGCTTTAGATATCTCATATAAATGAGATCAGGCAGCCTTTGTAGCTGGCTTATTTCACTAAGCATAATGTCCTCCAGGTTTATGCATGCTGTGGCATAACAGGATTTTCTCCTTTTGTGAGATTGAATAAAATGCTATTTTATGTAGATACCACATTATCTTTATCCATTCATCTGCTGATGGACATTTAGGTTGTTTCCATATCTTGGCTATTGAGAACAATGCTTCAATGAACATGGGAGTGCAAATATATCTTCAAGAGCCTGATTCAATTATTTGGGATATATGCCCATAAATGGGATCATTGGGTCATATGGTAGTTCTATTTTTAATTTTTGAGAAACCACCATGCTCTTTTCCATAGTGTTTGTACCATTTTACATTCTCATCTACAGTGTAAAGGACTCAATTTCTTCACATCCTTGCCAACATTTGTCATTCATTTTATTTTTATAATGGTCATTCTAACAGATGTGAGGTGATATCTTCTTGTGGTTTGATTTTAATTTCCCTGATCATTATTGATGTTGAGTGTCTTTTCACATGCCTGCTGGCTATTTGTATGTCTTCTCTAGAGAAATATTCATTCAAGTCCTTTGTCTGTTAAAAAATTTGGGTTATTTGCTTTTTTTGGCTATTGAGTTATAGGAGTTCCAGGAATTTAGATGAGAACCTCTTATCAAGCATATAATTTGCAAATATTTTCTCACATTCTGTATTTGCCTGTTTACTCTGTTGATTGTTCCCTTTGCTTTGCAGAAGCTCTTTATTTTGATGTAGTTCCACTTGTCTATTTCTGTTTTTGTTGCATTGGTTTTTGGTGTCACATCCAAGAAATCATAGCCAAGGTCAATGTCATAAAATTCATGAAATTTCCCCTACAATTACTTCTAGGAATTTTATAGTTTTAGGTCTTTTGTTTAAGTCTTTAATACATTCATTTTGAGTTGATTTTTGTATAAGGGTTCAGCTTTATTCTTTTGCATGTGAATATCCAGTTCCTTAACACTATTTGTTGAAAAGACTATTCTTTCCCTGTTGTGTATTTTTGGCACCTTTGCCAAAGATGAGTTGACCATATTTGTTGATTTATTTTTGGGCTTTCCATTCTGTTTCATTGGTCTATATGTCTGAATGTATGCTAGTACCATACTATTTTAATTACTATAGCTTTGTAATATGTTTTTAGATCAAGAAATGTGAGCCCTCCAGCTTTTTTCTTGTTTCTCAAGATTGTTTTGGGTACTTGAGGTCTTCTATGTTCCCTATAAATTTTAGGATTTTTTTTAATATTTCTGTAAAAAATGTCTTTGGGAATTAGGGATTGCATTGAATGTATAGGTCACTTTGGGTAGTATAGGTATTTTAACAATATTAAGTCTTCTAATCAATGAACATGGGATATCTGTCCATTTATTTGTGTATTCTTTCATCACAGGTTTTTAGTTTTCAGTGTGTGAGTCTTTCACATCCTACGTTAAATTTATTTCTGCTTTATTATTATTTTTGATGCTGTTATAAATGGCATGCTATTTTTTGATGCTATTGTAAATTATTTCCTTTATCTATTGGATTGTTTGTTGTTAGTATATAGAAATGCAACTAATTTATGTAAGTTGATTTTGTATGCCGCAACTTTACTGAGTTTATTTATTAGTTTTAATTTTTCCCCCCCTAGAATTTTAGGGTTTTCTACATATAAGACATCTAGAAAATGCTGGATCCTGTCACTACTCCAAGACAGGTGATACAGAAGTTTGTCCCTTGAGCAGTCCCCTGATAATGTACAACATTGGACAGCCACTTCAAATCTTTCCTTGTCCAGGTAGAAGCTGAGATTTGGGAGTTCTTGCTTGCTTACTCTGTACTTAGTCAGGGGTGGGGGGAGGGGTGTTAATGGCATGTGAGTACAAACTGGTCCAAACTATTGCTTTTGTTCTCAGTGGCTTCCAACCTGGGGTCCTTTCCTGTCCATAATCAAATTCAGGCAAGAGAGAAACCAATCGCTCAGGCAGACCCCTAAAATGTCAGCATGCCATATAGTCCATCCAGTTTGTCTTTCTCTCCCTCCCCAGGGAGAAGCTGAGAACTTCCTCCTAATTGTGTAACACTGTGTTGGGGGCCGGAATTATAGTGAAAGGGTGTTAGAAATTATTCTACTGGCTTCAATAAACTGCTTTTATACTTACCCATGGTGCAAGAGACTTTCAACTTGTCTTTATATTTCTCACAAAAGAAATTGGTTCAGGTGTTGTTGAGTCAGTATGTCCAAGGGAAAAAGGAAGGGCGGGGGCTTCATGCTCTGCCATCTTGGTAACAGGACCAATGTTATTCTTTCTGACTCAAGGAGTGCTCACATGTGTGTTGTAGCATTTTTTTTTTTTTGAGATGGGAGTCTCATGCTGTCGCTTGGGCTAGAGTGCAGTGATGCTATCTCAGCTCACTGCAACCTCTGCCTCCCAGGTACAAGCGATTCTCCTGCCTCAGCCCCCCTTGAGTAGCTGGAATTACAGGCACCCGCCATCATGCCCAGCTAATTTTTTGTATTTTTAGTAGAGATGGGGTTTCACTATATCGGCCAGGCTGGTCTCAAACTCCTGACCTCATGATTCGCCCCCCTCGGCCTCCCAAAGTGCTGAGATTACAGGTGTGAGCCACCGCATCTGGATGAGTTGTAGCTTTTTATCAAGTAGTATTTCCTCCATATCTTGCTCCTTACAGCATGTCTTCCTGTCTTGTCTGGGAACAACAACTTTGATGCTGTTCTGCCTCAAGTATTATCAGCCTTATTGCCTGGTATCAAGTTCATTATTTTCAGATTTCTCTACCAATCCCTGGACCCTGAGTAAAGAGCATGTCAGATCACTTTCTAGTCATCCATCTGGGGCTCTGGAAGAGACAGGTGCATTTCCCTGTGGGGTTCAAGCATGTTCCTCCAAGACTTTTGGGAAGACCAATGGCATCTTCCTTTTGCTAGGGAGCCCCTAGTTTTGACACAGAATATTTTCTTTCTATTCTCTTTTCTTGTTGGTCTCTCTAAAAGCTATTCAAAACACCTGCATCTGTTGCCCCTTTCTCTTCATGTTTTTTTGAAATACCTCTTTTAATCTTTCAAATAAACCTTTTTTTTTTTTTTTCCCTGAGGCAGGGTCTCACTCTGTCATCCAGGCTGGAGTGCAGTGGTGCGATCTTGGCTCACAGCAGCCTCCACCTCCTGGGATCAAGTGATCTTCCCACTTTAGACCCCCAAGTAGCTGGGACTATAGGTTCATGCCACCATGCCTGGCTAATTTTTATATTTTTAGTAGAGATGGGGTTTCACTATGTTGGCCAGGCTGGTCTCTAGCTCCTGAGCTTAAGTGATCCAACTGACTCGATCTCTCAAAGTGCTGGGATTACAGGCATAAGCCACTGCTTCTGGTCCTCAAATATACCCTTTTACACCCATTTGTCCCTGGCTTAGCTGGGGATGTCATTTTTCTCAAATTGGCACATAAAATCAGGGGTTAATAAGGTGATATTAACGGAATCATAAAATACATATGAATGTAAAAGTAGCCTGAATATTACTTAAGAAAGGATAGTGTGGTTTTAACTGATCACATTAAAAAATCCACCTACATTTTAACATATAAAGTACAGTTCCTTGTCTGAAAGTTTTGTGTAATTCATAATTACTTTTAATAAAAAAATATTTGGTATCTCAGGTGTACTAGTCTTTAAACACTTCAAAGGCAGGTAACATATATTTTATATCTGAGAGTATTTGTAGCACACTGACTAGTACATAGTTGTCCAAATATTGAATGTTTACAGTTACATTATTGAAGTCCTTGTGTATATATGCCATTTCTATGCACATATTTCTAAGACAGATGGTGTAAAACTGTCATTACCTTAAAATTCTTCTGATAGGACTTATATTGAAATGCACGTTTTTGAAGGTCAGCCAGAACAGACTGCAGATTATTCAATATGAGCCTTATTTTGTCTTGGTCAGCAGAGATATCTAAAATCTGTGGATCCTGTAAATTTAAGATAGTTTTTGGTTAGCCATTCCTGCTTTGTGATAAAGACCAATTAAATTAAATGAATTAATAAACATTTTTAAAAGAGTCATTTAATTCTCTTTTTGATTTTTAGAAATGATGTTTAAAATTGTTACTTTCCTGAATTTTAAAGCAATGCATATACATTATAAAAAGTACAGATTTGTATAAAAGTGCCACGGAAATAAAATTGTTTTAAAACATTATCTAATATAGTCTCCCTCATCTGTTTTCATTTCCTACACTTCTTCAACCAACGTGACCTCAGATAAGGAGAGGTGAATGCAGCAGGAAAGAGAAGGAAGGGGATATGATACAAGGTAAATTTCCATTGTACAATAAAGGAATTGAAAGGTCTTTGTATTCTAAGGTGATAAAAGAGAGAAAATGAAAAATATAAATAGCAAGACATATGTTTTACAGTTGACCTGTTAGGATTTAAACCCCAGTGAATGGGAATGGAATAGTTCAGGAACAAAGCAGAAGCATGTAATTAGGTTTGGGATAATCTGAGAAAATGGAAGGAATCTGAGAACCATTACAGCCATAGCTCACGGAGGCTAGTTATTCCATGTCTTAGTCCACATGGCTGTGCATTCAAACTGGCAACATGCTCTAAATTAGAAAAAGCCAAGGGATGTGTCCAGGATGAAGGAGCTTATATTGGCATTCTGGTGTCTTATGACTTGGTATGATATGCAGGGAATCCTGAAGTTTTCATGTGTCTTGATTCTGATAGTGGGGACTGCTGAGAGAACTAGTGGACCAGAAGATGTCTGAGGCCAGGATGAGAAAATCACAGATTACTTGCGACTGTAGGCTATGGAAGAAATGATGGATTGCAGCATATGGGCTATATGGTGCCTGAACAACCAGGAAAGACCCTTAGTTATTAACAGCAACCTGGGACAAGCAGGTGCAGCCCAGCCGACCTGCACTGGAAGCTGCTATGGTCCAGAAGATAACATGAAGAACAGATGACCTGTCCCTCCCATCGATGCACCATGAAAAAATGCAAGCTTCTCTTATGGGGCAATATGTAGGAGGGGATGGTGGCATATGTGAAAAAATGCCGCATAAAAAGTTAAATTTTCAGTTGAATTAAAATCTATCCAAAAGAGACCCGGGTAGAATGGAACAGATGTTTCAAACTGAAATAAATTGAGTTATCATCAGTTGCCACATTTAGGTTTTCTCCCTAATTCCCCACAACAGCAGGAATGGGGGTCTTGATAGCAAGATGGTATCATTTATGGAAATAATGAATTTACAGTTCTTTGCCCAAGAGAATTAATTTCAAACCTTCTATAGAGAAAGCACTAGTTAGAATAAGCCCATGCTTTCATTTTTGTGTATGTGCATCATGCTATTTAAAATGCATGATTTGCATGCACATATTAATTGCAGCACTATCAACAACAGCAAAGACATGGAATCAACCTCAATGATCATGAATATCAGACTGGATAAAGAAAATGTGGTACATATACACCATGGAACACTATGAAACCATAAAAAAAGAATAAGATTATGTCCTTTGCAGGAATACAGATGGAGCTGGAGGCCATTATCCATAGCAAACTAATGCAGAAACAGAAAACCAAGTATCTCATGTTCTCACTTATAAGTGAAAGCTAAATGATGAGAACACACGGACACAAACAGAAACAGCAGACACTGGGACCTACCTGAGGGTGGAGAGTGGGAAGAGGGAGAGGATCAGAAGAAAATATCTATTGGGTACTAGGCCTGGTACCTGGGTGACACAATAACCTACACAGCAAACCTCTGAGACATGAGTTTACCTATATAATAAACCTGCACATGTATCCCTGAACCCAAAATAAAAGTTTTTATAAAAATAAAAAAAAGCATGATTACACATAAGCATTTCTAGCACTTGTGCTTTCTCTAACCTTCTATACATAGATATTCATATTAACAGTATGCGGTGTATAGAATACAGTATATGGTATGCAGTCAATAGCAGACTATTAACCATTGAAAGTAGACTACTTAAGCTTGAATCCAGATTACTCCATTTAGTGTCTGTGTAACCCTTGGCAAGTTACTTAACCCTGTACCTTAGTTTCCTTTTCTGTAAAATGTGAATAATAAAACCCCAAGGTATTTTGATAATTAAGTAAGTTAAAACATGAAAACATACATAAGAAGTTTCTAGGACTATTACTCATCATTGCCCAAAATGGTAATAATCTCAATTTCCATCCCCCATGAAGTGAATAATTGTAAAATACAATAAAATACTATATAGCAACAAACATGAATAAACTACATCCACAAATAGAAACATGGATGAATCTTAGGAACTTAAAAAAATAAAGGGCACACTATATGGTTTTAAATAATAGAAGTTCAAAAATAGGAAATTTATAGTATTTCCACTCCGGATGGCCTGTCACTGCTATCACACCTGCTGCAGCTGAGAGGCATGGACAGGGCAACATGCCACATGGAGCCAGTGGGAGCTAGGGACAAATGGGAGCCTCAACCCTTCCAAGTCGGGGTGGGAGCTGTAGCCACCCAAACTGCCGCTGCAGACTCAGTCAGTCCTGTGCTTTTGAGGGTATGGGAAGGCCCCCCTGCCGTCGCAGGCTTGGCCGTGACTGCTCCTGCTGCCTGGTGTCTCCCCACTCTGATCTTGGAAGGAGAGAGGCCAGGCAGTGGGAACAGGCACTTCACTGATCTTCTCCAATTCTGGAGCAAAGTCAGGGCCCAGCCTGGATGCTATGAACCGCAACAGGAGGTAGACAGATTCCTGAGTGGAAGGGGGTGGGTCTCCAGTGAGGCCCCACCTTCAGGCCCTCCCTAGCCTGAAAGCTAGGGGCCAGGCTGCCAGTCCCACAGACCCAGTGTGGGAACTTGTGATGCCTTTTCCGGCCTGCCCATGATCCCCCATGGGCCAATCAGTGCATACTTCCTCCCTGCTGAGGTCCATAAAAGCCCTGGGCTCAGCCAGAGCTGAGCAGACAATGGGACAACCAGCTGCAGAGGGGAGTTACCCTCTCTGCTGAGAGCTTCAGAGACCTGTAGAGATGTTGGGGCTACTGGCTTCAGAGAGGAGCAACCCACTCCAGGGCCTCCTCTCTGCTAGGAATTGGGCATACATTGGGACAATCAGCTGCAGAGAGGAGCTACTCTATCCATGCCTCCTCTCTGCTGAGAGCTGCAGAGACGATGGGACAACCTACCTGCAGAGAGGAGACACTCACTCTAGAGCCTCTTCTCTGCTGAGAACTGAACACCCAATGGGATAACTTGCCCACAGAGAGGAGCTACCCACTGCCAATCTCCTCTGAGCTGTTCTAACAGTGAATAAAGCTCCTCTTCATCTTGCTCACCCTCCACTTGTCTGCATACTTCATTCTTTCTAGATGCAGGACAAGAACTTGAGCAAAGGCGCCACCAGCGACAGAGGTTTCTGGCCAGAAAAATGATACCCCAAAGATCCCATAACAAAAGGATTAATAATTAGGAGGGAGCACTAGGGTATCATAATGCTTTAGTTATTGACATAAGTAGTGGATACATAGATATGTTTACTTTCAGATAATTCATTGAATTGTACAATAATAAGTTATGTACACTTTTGTCTCTAATAAAATACAAAAGTACTTCAGTACAAAAGTAAAAACAATGTGAAGTCCTTAGAACACTGCCTGACAAATAGGAAGCACACAATGTGAACTCTTTTATATTTCCACATTAATACATGTAAAGGTATACTGTAATCTTTAATGTCTGTACTGTATTCTTTTGAGTCAATGTACCCTATATCTTTTCTATAGTAAAAGTGGTACAAGTTAACCAAATATTCTCCACTATCAGTTATCAGTTTTATACTCTGCCTCTTTCTAAAGGTGAATTTTCTAATATGCTTGCAATGTTTATTTTTATTTTGTATTTAGCTTTTACTTTAAGTTCAGGGGTACATGTGCAGGTTTGTTATACAAGTAAATTTGTGTCATAGGGGTTTGTTGTATAAATTATTTCATCACTTAAGTATTAAGCAAACTTTAAAATTCTGACAATAGCTCTAATATATGCTAGCAAGTCTTTAAAACACTCTGCAAAATAATAAATACAAGTAGGACTAGAATTTAATTGACTAAATTCAATATTATACACATGCTTTGTGATAGTCTGAAATATATTTCCTACCTACTTAAAGAGAGATTTTGAAAAATTAATTTTTAAGTAGCAGCTCAAAGACATTGTTAATTGGTTAGAACAAAACTACAAAAAACTAAAGCTACATCAGTTAAATGTGTTCTCTAAATGGTTTGAAGACTGGTCTTAATTATTCTCACCACAAAAAATGATGTATGTGAGGTGATAGACACATTAATTAGCTTGATTAACAATATCACAACTTATACATGTATCAAAGCATCAATTATACACTGTAAATATATGTAATTTTTATTTGTTGACTATACTTTAGTAAACAAATGTACTAATCAAACTTTTCATAAGTTATTTTTTACAAAATCCTGATTTAGCTTACCTGTGCTTGCAGTTTTACTTCATTCACTTCATTGTTTAATTCTTCAAGATCACTACTCAAATGTACACAAAATTGCTTAATGCTTGATTCTCTATCACCCACTGCTTTATCAATGGCATTCCGAACAGCAACAATGGATGGCTTCATAGTTGCAAAAACAGCAAAGTCTTCAGGAGGTGTGGGCACCTGATATTGTTCAATAAGCTTGTACATTTGAATCACTACATTCCCTTCATCTTCAAGGCTTTCAATCTAAATGGAAACATAGTTTGCTTATTAAATGTAGCAGAGTCCTATTATACTCTTAAAGTTTGTTCTAATAGGAGACAGCCACTATACAATATGAACACTGTACTGGTCTGTTCTCCTGATGCTAAATAAAGACATATCCAAGAATGGGTAATTTATAAAAGGTTTAATGGACTCACAGTTCCACATGGCTGGGGAGGCCTCACAATCATGGCTGAAGGCAAGGGAGAAGCAAAGGCATGTCTTATATGGTGGCAGGCAAGAGAATTTGTGCAGGGAACTTCCATTTATAAAACCATCAGGTCTTATGAGACTTACTACCACAAGAACAGTATGGAGGAAACCATCCTCATGATTCAATTATCTCCACCTGGCCCCATCCTTGACACATGGGACTTCAATTCAAAGTGAAATTGGGGTGGGGATGCAGCCAAACCATATGAAACATCAAATGTGAATAGTCAGCACAGGAGGAGTGTATTTTATTATAGTCAAATTTGCTAAAGCCTGCTGGATAAGAAATATAGTCATTGCTACAACACAGGTAATCAGGAAGTAAATTGTTCAGAGCTGAGCTCTTATAAATGTTTCCTCTTTCTTTCTGTTTTGTTCTTTAGTTGTATTAAACAATGCCAATATTTAAAGTAGTCTGAGAAAACATGTGCTGTGAGGTTGTTCAGCTGAGGTATCTGAGCTTCCAGGCACGTGTGATGGGCAGTGATCATCTCAGAGCAGTCCCTGAGGAATTGACAGGCTGTGGACTTGGCTGCACAGTTTCAGAACACATATCTAAGGTGAGATTCCCACTATGCTTTAATAAATTATTTTACTACAGCCCCAATGACCACTAAACATCTACACTTTGATTTCTCACTTTTAGTGGACAGTATTGCTTGTCTTTCCTAATTTTCTGGCAAGGGATCCCACAATTTTGGGAAAACTCCTTACCCCCAGCTCTGTCACATGGTTATAGAGGGAGCAGCCATGTTCAGACTACTTGGTCCAACTTCCTGGCCACAAGCTGAACCAAGGAGCATCAAACTGTGATCTAAAGAACTTAGCTCAGTCTGGTCTTTCTCTCCAACATAGGAATAGTTAGGACTGAGGCCATTTGCTTTCATATGGAGACAGAACAGGTCATTAACATGAGAAGATAACTGCAGAGAGGCTTTTAGAGAAATAGTTCCCAATCTTTAGCCTTCATTGCAATGACCTTGGAAAGCTTGTTAAAACAGATTGCCGAGCCCCTCCCAAGTTTACTTAAAGTTCAGGGGTACATGTGCAGGTTTGTTATACAAGTAAATACAGAAGGTCTAGCAAGTCATAAAAATACTGTAGTCACTTAGGGTGGGTCCCAAGAATGTACATTTCTAACCCATCCTCAGGTGATGCTGCTGCTGCTGATTTGAAGTCCCCCTTTGAGAACCAGGTTCTATAGAGGAGCAGAGATGAGAGAAGAAGAGAGGCATTTTTTTAAAAGGCCTAGCTCTATCCATACTTTAGGATTCTGAAAGATATTTCTGCAAATTTAGAATAAATCTTCCGATTTTCTAAACTATTTATGTGGGTTTTTGTGACTTTCAACCAAAATTTCTAACACCTTGAACAAGTTACTTATAGAACTAAGTCTCTCTACATCAAGATCTGTTCATCTTCCTGTACTTCCTCTATTTTGGGTAAGTATACATCCAGGTTTCTCTGGAATGTCCTGGATTTACACTTATTGTTCTAGTATAATTATTAAAAGCGTCTCTTTGACTCTCAGAAAAATGTCCTGATCAGACAATGAATTATGTAGCCTACGTTCCTTATACTGGTATGAAATTGCTATCTACCTTTTCCCTGCAGAATGATACCTAAAAGTCACCTCATTCTCCTCTCACTGTTCCCTCATTCAGTTGTCCATTAAGTCCTTTCAATTCTCCTTAACAACTTTATCATTAATTTCTTCTCTCCTAACCTTGAAAACACTGCTTTAGCTACACAGAGTTCATCAGCTTTCAATCAAACATTCTTTCTCCAAAGCGCATCTATCACTAAATCTTGTTTATGTCACGTTGCCTCCTGTCTTTACACATGGCTTTCCCTCTCCCTGGAATGCCCACCTGAATGTTTCATGTATTTTATGACAGCTTAAACACCCCATCCTCCACAGAGCCTTCTGTAACTAATAGGCAAGAATGACTACAAACTTTCCAGCGCTAAAACAGTATCTTATACCTATGCTCATTGTATCAGAATTATCTGCTTGCATTTAAGACTCAGCTCCTTGAAAGCAGGTTTATTCATTGTTGTAATTTTTGCACCTGCTAAGTGGTGCTCACTAAACTTGCTGACTGAGTGAATGAAGTTCCAGAAAAAGTTTTTGTGTCTGCAGAGCATCTCCCTCAAGGAAGCTGCTTTCCAAACACATCACCCAGCAAACACAGACAACCTCCTGGAGATGGGACACAGCCTGTTTTCTGCATACTGCATGGACTTGCTGTTCTGGAACCACAAGGTAATAGCAGCTGACCCTCAGCAGCCATTGATGATGATGTGACCCTACCTTCTTGACACAGTTTATAGGACAGAATAGGAGCTGTGAATAAATTTACTAGGCCCTTAGAATCAATATTAAAAAAGAAAGATTATCTCTTTCTTGCTGACTGGCCAGACTTGCAAGTTGTAGCTTGGGAGCAGCTGGTGGCTATGTTTGCTGCTGTGGTCAGAAGAAGCAGAAGCAGCTGTCTGCAGACGGAGAGAAGTGAAGCAGACTCTCAGAGAGATACAGAGAGGAGAGATGGAAGGAAGGACTACTGGGTCTTCCCACAGCTGTCCTATTCCTGGTTCTGATCAGTTCCTGAGCCTAGTTACATTCTTGATTGGGAGTTCCATGAAGCACCCCTGAATCCTTAAATGGGATCCCTATTTTGGCCTAAGCTTTCTCAAGTGGGTTTGGGTTATTTGTTTGAAGTGGCTTAATGAATGCAAACAATAATAACTGCTTGGCATCTTTAGTCTCCTGGGACAATGAGTAAGCAAACCTGAGGAGAACCACAATCATCCGCCTTTTTGAGAAACATGATTTCTTGAAATGAGAAACACTGTTACCTTTGTAGTCATGCGAAATAGCATTTATTATTAATTTGGTTAATAATATACAACATTTATTCAGTTTACATTTTTTATTTGAAACATTTCTTCAATTTTCAGAAATTTAAGAAAATAATTTAGCTATTTTTTCAAGTTCCAACCTAATACGAATGAAAGTTCATGAAAAACTGACTATTGAAGCCAAATGCTAGATTGCTTCCCATGGGGAAGAGCCTGAGAGGAGAAAACCAAGTTTCCAGAGAAAAAGAAGCAAGAGAGACAAAGGAGTGTATGTGTGTGTGTGACTGTGTGCCTGTGGTGTGTGTGTGTGTAAGAGAGAGAAACAGAGACCTGACTCCATCTGCGTCACTTGAGTCCCCAAATCTACTTTTTTCCCCCACCTCCACCTTCTCACTTAAGCAGGTTTTTGCTGGGTTTCTTTCATTCTTAACAGTAAGGTTCCTGACTATGCACCCAGATAACCATTAGGATTAATATCTAGATTACAATCTTATTACCGTTTACTAAAAATTAGAATTTCTATAAACTATGGTTGAGAACATTGGCTATGCAGTCAAAGAGACTCAAATCTAAATTCTAACTCTATCACATACATACGTATCTGTGATCTTGGATAACACATCCTATTTTGGTTTCTGTTTCCTTATCTGCAGCATGAGAACAGATTATCATCCACACTTCTCAAGCTTTTGTGAGAATTAAAAATGTAATGCATGTAGAAAATGTAATATGATGCCTGGCTAGTAGTAAGAGTCTGATAACTGTTGGCTGCTTCATTCCTGTGACATAGAACATTCACTTACTTTGAGGTATGCCACTAAATCAGCTGTCTTTTGCCCTTCAAGTTTCCAAAAAGTCCTTCACTTTTTCTTGTCCTATGTCTTCCTTCCTACTATAAGATCCAGAATATTAAGTTACATGAGATAATCAACTCACCCGTTCCTGAATTTCATCAAGAAATATTAAGCTATGAACATATTCTGTGGTAGTAGTTGGAACAAATTCAAGTTTATACTCTGCATCTTGTGCCTCAGAGATAATGGCATCCACTTTTTTCTTGCTTTGAAGAGGAAGCATAAAATTTAGCACCTAAGAAAGAGAATAATGTAAATTGTAAATAGTTGAATATTTTCATTTTATTATATATTTTAGCCAAATCCTAATTGGACATTTGCTAAAATCTGCAGATACTGGAAGCAGCAGAGGATATAAAGAGACTTTTTTTCTCATTAAATCACTGCTAGTTAAATAGCCAACAGGAAGACCAGGTTTTGAAGATCATTTCCACAGCTTACCAAAAATTTTCCCTAAATGCTCTAATATCTTGCAGGTTAGCTTCCTGCTTCTTTGTCCTATGTAGTGGACATTGTTCTGCCTCCTCCAGCATCAGTCCCACTCCTTTTATGCTGGATGCTAGCCACGCAGTTTGGGGGAAATTGATCTCTCCTTCAGAAACAAATATGGAGTCTGACTGGTCACTTGGCAAATAGAACATGGCTTTTTTGGCCAAAGTGATCAGATTAAGGTTGTATTAGTCCATTTTCACACTGCTGTAAAGCACTGCCCAAGACTGGGTGATTTATAAAGGAAAGAGGTTTAACTGATTCACAGTTCAGCATGTCTGGGGAGGCCTCAGGAAACTTACAATCATGGCAGAAGGTAAAGGGGAAGCAAGGCAATTAGAGCTATCACCATCCCAGGCAGAGGTATCTTTGAGAAACGACTCAGTTCTGCCCCAGGCCCCTGTGACTCTGCTTAAAGCACACATTCCTGCTGACTCTTGTACCTGGGGCAGCAAAATGGTCACCAACATGCTCTTAATAAGAAACAACACACCGAGCACAGTGGAGCTGTACTAGGCAACCCCGGAAGTCTCAGGCTGCGGTGGGCGTTTGTCCTGCATGTGACCCAGACCGCCCTGACCCCTGGGCCTGCCTGCTCAGCCCTGCATGCTGCACGCTCCCTGTGTTTGTGCAGATCCTGGCCAGTATGAAGTTGTTGCTCTTGTCTTGTCTTTTCTTACAGAGTCTTCCTCCCTTTATAGAATGTCAAGCAAAGAGTGCCCTCCTCCCCTCTCAGCCTCCTCTTTAGCTAGCCTCCCCATCTCATCACTGTGCATGTCTGTGACCTTTGGTAATCATTTACAGTACCACACAGAACCCTGTATTTTGCACACAAGGCAGCAGGAATGAGAAGTATATGAGAGTGCAGGAAAAACCACAATTTATAAAACCATCAGAGCTTGTTAGAATTCACTCACTAGCAGGAGAACAGCATAGGGGAAACTACCCCCATTATTCAATCAATTCCTATCAGGTTCCTCCCTTAACGCCTGGGGATTACAGTTCAAGATGGGATTTGGGTGGGGACACAAAGCTACACCATATCAAGGGTGAATCTCTGACTTTAGTTGATTCAATCAGATAGAGGCCTGGCACTTTTATTTATAGCTGAGAGATGCGTGTACTCAGAACCCCTATCTCTCTTCCTTTCTCTCTATATACAAACAGAGAAATAATTGGCTTGTGGAGCTTTTGACAATCATTTCACAAATGCCTTAGGATGAAGCCTGCACGTAAGGAGGCTCAGGAAAGAGAATGAAAGAATTGGTTCCTTGGTAACACCACTGAGCCACTAGATCATACCTCCTTGATATCGACCCAATCTCTGGAGTTTTTGGATGTATATGCCAAGAACTCTTCTGATTGCTTAAGCCAGTTTGAGTTCAGTTTTCTTGGGCTTACGGTAAGTATATACCCAAATATTTATTGGGCATACAGTAGTTTGCTGAAAATGAATTAAATTTGCTCCAATTATATAAATAATTATATATATATATATAAAAGAAATATATACACATTTTTTTTTTTTTACCAGATGAAGAAGCAAAACTCTAGAAGAAAGCCTAATGCCATACAATTAATTAATGACAGAACCTATTAGCCCTCAGGTCTGTAGTCTTTTATATAGTGCTTTACCTTCCATCATCTACCAGGGACCAGAAAANCCTCTCAGCCCACAGTCCAAGCTAACTCTCCTGAGGTCAACACATTTCTTTTGGTAGAGAGCCAGCTAGTAAATAATCTGGGCTTTGCAGACTATATATACAGTCTCTGTCACAACTACTCAACTTTGTCCTTGCAGGAAGAAAGCAGCCATAGATGATATGTAGGACATTGTCATGGATGTGTTCCAATAAAACTGCATGCATACAAAACAAGAGGCAGCCTGGGTTGATTCTGTGGGCTATAGTTTTCCAATCCGTTTTATATCATTGTCTCTTTGTGGGCATTTGGGAAGATACAAATATGCTCTGCCTCCAAAGGAAATGATTGTATTGGTTCTGCAACTTATTACAGAAATTTCCCTAGCTCTATAGCTTGCCAAAACATAACCAGACCTTTAGGGACAATTCCAGATCAGAAAATGATTTCCTAAATTTGATCTTGGTGGTCTAGAATCAACCATCACTCCCTCTGGGATATTGAATTGTTATTGTGGTATTCTCTCTACAAGTCTTGAAATGCTCTGACAATGGAAAAATGAGTAAGAGCAAGAGGCTAGTGTGAGGCCTGCAGTCCCCTCCATTTTCTCACCTAAAAGCTGATTATGCTTGTGACAAAAAGACTACAGACCTTTTCTTAGAAATTAAAGATGCCCAATAGTCTTAGGTTAACTTTGATTAACAAAAACACACAATACTGGATAATAAATAATAGGTTTTTGTGCAGTATAAAAATCATAAAATAATTGTAGAGAAATAATTAAAAATTTTTCTAGTTTATAGTTACCTCTAAGCATCGCAAAGGTGATGGAATTAACTTCTCTCTTAGCAGCTTAGTGTCAATGAGCAGCAATCCTACATTTCTGGTGGGTCTGAGAGCTACTGCGTCCTTGTGCTGTTTGTGATATTTTTCCAGTTGTCCACTAAAAAAGTTAACATCTACATAAAAAAATCACATAAAGTATAAAATATACCATATTGGATTTTAAAAGATCATTACAAAATATTTTAAAAATCATTGCAGTAATAAAATTAGACATATATTTATAATGTTATTATCAGTACTTAGATTATCTCATATAACTTTAAAATGCTAATTTAGATTGCTTTATAGTATTTTATTCTTGTGATAAAGAAACAAATATTTTATAATGTAAATATGTTTTCTGGCTCCTATGAAGAGATGACAGAAGAAAATATCCTGTAAGTGCATAAGAGAATCTGGTCTGGAATTGACTATATGTCAGAGTTAGGTTGGTTTCAAGTTAGGCTTAATCTGAATGTTCTCTCCCACATGGTATCTCAAAGTAAAGCATTTTGAGAATATTAACAACAACAAAATTTGGAACATAACAGATCACACATAGCTAAAGTTATCTCGGTTCCTCTTCCCAACACATCTCTCTGTCATTCCTGCACCCTACATCATGGTCAAAGCCTTCGTCAATTTGCATATGCTGCTGTTGTATTTTGATAATCTTCTTGCCTCCATTTTCTCCCTCATCCAATCCACCTGGAACCAATGGAAACCTGATTATCTTTGAATATACTCCCATAATACTATCAGTCAAAAATAGCTCTCTATCTAACGCATATACAATTCTAAATTTCTCTGCTTGTCTTTCAAAATTCTGTACCCTCTGGCCTCTAAAAATTTAGCTAAGTTTATTTCTAATTACCTCCTCCATTTGGATCAAATTGATTTCCCTGCTGTCTACCCTTTTTCTTCCTTCCATAATTTTCCTCCATCACCCTAAAGAGAAAAGTGTGCTGTTTCTTGCCTTTATTCATGCCACCTCCTCTTCTGATTATCCTAAGGGGTAGTTTGATATAGTATAAAGAACACACCAGAGAAAGTATTAGAAGACCTGAACTCAGGTCTCTAACCCATGTGTGGCCTTAGGAAAGTCACTTAGTCTTTCTGAGCTTCAGCTTCCTCATAATATAAAACAGAAACAACAATTGTCTCCCTTACGTCAGAAAGTTTTGATTTGTGTATTTTTGAAAGCCGACTAAATTAAGATGTTAAATGATCTGAGAGGTCCTATGGTAAGGATACCTGTATAATGCTGTGTTGCCTAGTATTTTCCAAATTTATTTGAGCAGCATCTTTATTTCATGACATCATGTAATTATCCTTCAGAACAATGCCAATGAACACAACTTTGGGAACCACTGATTTGGTCCCAAACTCTTATTTTATACATAGAGAAAATTGAGATCAATTAAGGTCAAATGAGTTGGCTATGGCCACATAGCCATAAAGGAATAAAAGATTAAAGCCAGTAGTCGAGAAATACTATTTCTCTTTGAAATCGAGGAGAGGCAGTACGTAAAACGATTAAGCAGACAAGCTTTCAAGTCAGAGTAATTGGATTCTGAACTGCCCACTAGCTGTTTAATCTTGAAGTTGCCTCATCTCTATAGATCTGTTTTATTTTCTTTCTCTTTCTTTCTTTC